TTCTGTAGTTATTTCTGATCTTTCCTCTTCAGCTTCTAGGTTTGTGACTGATTCTTAATGTCGCTGTTTACCGTCATCCTGTACACTGATCAGCTCCCCCTTCCCCGCCTCTCTTAGAACTCCATCTTACTCCAGCCTGGTGTGGCCACCCTTGTCTTCAGACGGGAACAGCATGTGAACTGTCCTTGAGAGGGACACCTGTCCCTTTTTTTGCCTTGTGACCATCCTGGGACCCGATCCAGCAAGTGATTTAGCCCTGGAGGAATCTGATCTACCTGATGCAGCCCTGAGTCCCCCAAACCTTCTCCTGCCCCACCAACTCTGAAGTACCTTCTGTCCTGGACTGTGAACCAACCAGCTTCTCTTTCTTCCTTCCGATGTGTCACATTACCCTGTGTACCTCGGGAGCCTTTCGGAGGCCACCCCAGGTCGCAGTGTTGTCTACCTCATGGAATGCTCTTCCAGAAATTGCAGTGTGTTTTATTTTTAGTGGGGGGTTGGGGGGTGGTGTCTGTAACAAAGTGAAAGGGTTTTTCAAGTTTGGCAACATGAGGCCTGACCTGAGACTTCTACCTGGCAGGACCCCAATCCTCACAGTTTGTTGTCCCATAACCTGAAATTAGGAGGGACTGGCAGATGTCATCTTGGTCTTAGAAGCTGACTTGTTTGAAATTCAACCTTGAATTAAGCTCTTAGTGTGTTCAGCTTGGTGGCCAGCTTCAGTCTCTGTTTGGTTCTCTTAAGTTTACTCAAGGAGGCCCCAGGATGATATATTATCAGAGGTTACCATCTGTAAAGGCTGGGGGTATGGGATACACGTTTCCATGTCTGGGTCTCAGAAACTGGCTGTTCATTATTAGATGGATGCTTTGTGAAGCCATTGCCTTGAGGCCAAAAATAACCAAGCACTTAAACTGGACCAGGGACAAGGTGCTTGAGTCTCAGGCTCTGGAAATGTTGCAGACCAGAGAGTCACTCATTTCATGTGTTCAGGTGTATTTTCCTAGTCATGTGTGTGAGACGTATGTACATACATGTGTGTCTCAGGAAGCAAGAGACCAGAAGTGCAGACTGTTGTAACCTCAAAAGTATCCCCCAAAAAACCTTAAGCTAGGTCAAAAATTAAAAGACATTTGCTTACTTGCAGATGAATCAGTAGAAGTAGGGTTTTCCCATATCATCAGGATACCTGCTATTTTCTGGATGAATACTGGGAGAATCATAGATGTTTGGGGTGAGGACTGAGTTGATCCCTTTAAATTTCTCTGCATAGCAGGCAGAAGGTGTGACAATTTATGAAGCCTCTCCCCATATGCTGCCTAGGCCAGGCTGGTCTGAGAACATCCCACAACAGTTTGGGTTCATTCATGTGACTTTGGGATGTCCTGTCTCTAGGGCAGAGTCACTTGGGGGAGACCAAGGGCCACTGAGTAGCCTAGTGCTTTCTGCTACCAGCTTAGTGAATTTGATGGGTTCTTTGGCTCCCCCAATTCTTGTCATGGAGGAAGCATCGGCTGGGAAATTTTCAAGTGTGGTGACTGCTGAGCCAGTTGGTGAGTCCCTTAGGTTCCCTGCTGGCTCCTGCCAGCCTGATTTCACATTTCAGCTTTGACTTTAATGCTTTCTGCGATAGGGTGAGCACCCTCACCCAGGCACTGCCCATTGGTTTCCTTTGCAGAAGCCACTTACTCCCAGTCATCACCTGTACTCAGACAGAGCCAAGGAGAGGCCCCTTGCCCATGGCTATGAAGTCGGATGGTGGACTGACTCCAGCAGCAAGGGCAGACCAGTTCTAATCACAGGCCTTTGCTCTCCTGAGGTGGAGGCCTGGGGCTTATGGTTTGGAATACAACAAGTGAAGGTTTTTTTTGTCATTTGTATTTTTTTAAATGTAAACTTGATTATTTTATTGCTAATTTAAAAATAAATGACTATATTGATTGTAAAACAGTTCCGCCTCTGTTGCCCTGCAAAATGCTCTGTGACTAGGTGTTACCACGTGGTTTTGTTCAGGTCTTGGAAAGAGGTTGAAATCTTGTTTAACCGTGTGCGGATTAGATAGATCCGGAGTCCTAATTTTGAAACTGGTTCAAATCTCAAAGAATGCCGAGTTTCAGACTGAGGTGCCTCCCCCAAAAGAGCGCCCACTCATTGTGAGCATCTGGCTCTGGGAGGGAACGGGCTACGCCTGATAGGATGCTATCTGGGAGGAAGAGTGACATAAAAAACATACTCCAAGACTGCTGTCTATCTGATTTTGAATCTCTAACCTGAAAGTAACATTTCCATGAACATTTTGGGTTCTAGAAGCCAGATCCATCTCCCTTTCCTTCATGACCTCCTCTTCCACGCCCGGCCCACGTTTGTCGCCCTTCCTGCAGACCTCTGTCCGCACACACGCACAGTGATGTTTCTCATATACTTTCTCTCTCCTCGTCTGGATGAGCAGAAGAAGATCATGATCATGATCTGCTGTGTTATCCTTGCAATCATCTTAGCTTCTACCATTGGGGGCATTTTTGCCTGAAAAAGGTGAGCCTTCCTTGAACCTCTTTGTGTCCTTAGGGCGTTGTTGGTCACCAGGCACCCTAATCTGGGTGGGATTAGGTGCTAGACTAGAGAAAGGCTAAAGAAAACTAAGGAGAGATGCTTCCTAGAGAGAGAAATGAGTGCAGAATGAGTTGGCTGGTAGTAGGTGGATGGCGAGGTGGCAACCTGTTCCATAACCAGGTCTCGTAGCAGAATGCTTTGGGTAAGGATGTTGACTTTCTGCAACAAAATTTGAGCCTTGGCACCTGGGGATGGCAAAGGGGAAAGAAGTAGTTCTTGTATTAGAAGCATCCTGAAGTCTTAGGAAAAGGGCTACACAGTATGCATAAAGTGCATAAATTTCCTCCCTCACAAGGTTAGGAGAGGTGAATGCAGCCTCCTGAGTAGTCCCTTTCCCCTGCAGAAGAGAGGTTTGGAGATTTACGCTTCCATCACCCTGCCATATAATCTATGATTTTTTTCCTCCATTTTCCTGTTAGCTCCTTCAGCCCCCACAGATGGATCCTCAGCTGGCATTTTTAATCCTTCTGCCACCTCTGTGGTGCCATCACTTCTCCACTACTGATTCCTCGACAGCTACTACTCTTTCCATTGTGAAACCTCCTATGACCCAGGTCATTGATCACCTACCTACTATAAATTACGCAAAAGGAGACTTTTGGCAATAGGGAACTGGGTGGGGGCAGGGATGAAGAAACGGAGTACAGCAACATGGAGCTGGCTAAAAAGATGGTTTAAAGGAAGGGACTGCAGGGTAAAGAGAAAGAGTAGGTGCCTGTACAGAACAGGAAATAAAACTTAAGAGCCTGCACTGAAGCTGTGGCTCTGGAGGCACATACTATAGCATACTAATTCATCAGGATCCTGTTTGAACTACTTTAAGCTGAGCAACATCAGGGTACTTGTTACTTCTGCTCTTCAGGTTCTTCTAGGTCTCACTTTTGACCAACCCTACATCTCCTTCCTTCTTCAGGGTCTAATAAAGATTGTCTAATGACAGGTACCATCATGTCTTGCTCACTGCAGTGTCCCTAGTGCTTAGCACATGACCTGCCACTTACAGGTGCTCAAATATTGACTTAATTACCTGTAATTAATCTTTGATTTCTATTAATGGATGACTCCTTGGATTTAACTCTTAAAACACTTTAAGGCATCAAAGGGAAATGGTTTGTATCAGACTGTGTAAAAATGCCTGGGAATTGGCTGATCCACTTATGCAGAAATACAATAGGCCCCCCAATACTGCAACATATAAAGTCCTTTTTATGGGTGGTTCCCATAAAACTGGAGTTCTACCAACAGCCTTACTCTGCAAAGACAGCTGGCCCCAGCATTGTGGTTCAGTAACTAAACACTGACCCCAAACAAAAAAAATCAGGTTTATACTGTTTGAACTCTGGTAGTCATCAGTATCATGCTCAGGGTCATCAGAACCAAAACAAACAAGAGATCGAGTTGTTAGGTCAGGAAGGTGAAAGGAGGCTATCGCTCATATCCCTCCTCACCGGATTCCTGTTGACGAAACTTTGTTGGCCAGCAGTGTGCGAACAGGAGCTGTTCCAGTGTCCCCAGTTCAAGGGTAAGATGTGTTCTAATGTAATTTAGTGATGTTTTATTTACAGGGGATTCACTAAAAACTTGAAACTCTTGAGGACCATAAGACTGCTCATATAAATTTATACTTTTGAAGGTAAATTATCTTTGCTGGAGATCTATCTTCTTAAGAAAGTGGATTAAAAAAACCCTGACAGCTTAAGTCAGTGTGTTTTCTACCCACTTACAAAAGCAAATGGTTTAATACTTCTATCCATTTGCTTTTATTTTAATAAAGGGAAGAAAACGACTGCTGGCTAGGTCTGGAAAATAGGTTAATCCTGTTCAAGGCAAACAGGGAGGTAGAACCGTGGGGATTTGACAACATGGGGCCTTTAGTTGGCCAGCTGTGTGGCCTGCTACGCTGTCCCAGAACATGCAGGGAAACAAAGATAAAAGCCATCAGAACCAAATCTCCTTCCTCGGAGGATTTCAGAGACCTAGAGACCTATGAAAAGCCACATGTCAACTTGTTTTTATCAGTTCCTTTTGCTAAAAGGCAAGGTTATGTTCCTTGTCATATTGTCCAACATCCCCCCTCCCAAGGCTGAGAGAAGATGGGTAGCTGGGCATCAATAAATACCTGTTGTATCAGTTAACCCATGTACTGTTTTGTTTCCTTTGCTTTTCCAAAAACATTAGTTTGTAACTAGTAAAGTATCACAGAAACTAGTTCCTGAAGTGTGTGTACATGTATAAGGGAGTACAGATGTAAGTCCAACTTGAATGAGGCAGACATCTGCTTCAGCCCTGCAAGTGTCATCTTAACAGCCACAAATACCACAACTCCTAACATTCAACCAGGCTTGTTCCTTAATCATTTATGGGATTAAGAGTGACCAATGAGAAGTAACTGCTGAGGTGATGCTCAAACTTTATTTAAATAAGAATATAACGCATATAAAGAGAAATCAACAGATAAACAATTGTTTAGAAATCATCTACTCATGTGCTGCTCCTTGGTTATGACATCAGAGCTGCTCAAGGATGCTGAAGGGTAGGCTGAGAGGACTAAACACACAGACCCCTTGTCTCTCAACAGCATGTGTACACGCATTTCTCACCTTTTCACTACACCCGCTCAGGCAGGTAGAACTTGCCCCAGTATTTCCCCTTCTGGGTTAAGTCATAGGGGCTTAGTACTTTCCGTATCCCGAGCATGTTGGCGGTGGCTATGCGCTCGAAGGTCCAGGGGTTTTGGTTGTTACTTTCTCGTTCTTCCTGGTCTTTCCGCATCTTCTCTAGAGTCTCACGGCTCACGGCCTTTGCGGGGAAGGGCAACTTGTGGGCAGCCTGGTCGAGGAAACCTTGTATCTCTTTGAATTCACAACGCCCACCCATTTCTACTATGAGACGGCCAGCCTTCACAGGAGTCACGTAGTGATCAATGGCACCTTTGCCTCCCCCCATGCGCTGTCCCATACTCTTGCGGGTGATAGGCTTGAAAGGGGCTGGCACTCGCCATAAGGCAAACATTTTCTTGGGGTCCATTGAGCGGTTGATAGTCAGACGCATCATTTCAAAATGGCCCCAATGGAGGTAACCGCCACCCAGTGCCTTAAAGTGAACATAATTAGGAACACATGAGGACTTGGATTTATGTGTCTTTTTAAAAAATAGTAATTGGCTTCAATGGTGTACATGAAAATAAAGAAATGTTCTAATAGATACGAGCAAGGAAAAGCCTAGAGTACAGTAATAAATGAGAATCAATGGATAGCCAGGGAAGTCCTCCTCAAATGCTGAAGCCAGACTGGTTAAGAACTAGCCAGGAGAAAACAGACAAGGGTTCCAGGCAGAAGAAGGGCATGTGTCAAGGCCTTGGTGACTCTGAGCAGAAGCCACTGTGGCTGGAGTAGAGTGAGCAAGGGAGTGGATTTGAGGTTCTGAGAGGGTAGCAGGGGCTGATGGTGCCGGCTGTGGGAAGAGGACTTTAAAACTTGCTCTGGCTGCCTGGTACCCTTTCTACAAATCTTAGTCCATACCGGCTTTTAACATCAAGCCTTCACAGAGGCTACCTGAGTAAGGAAACTTCTGCCCTACATCCTAAGTCATGGATAGGCTTATTTTTACCAGAGGCTTGGGATCTCATGGTCTGATTATGGGGTAATATAGGTAGCCTCTCCTCTTTCTTCTGCTTTGATGTTATTTTCACTCTGTGTTAAAAAATAGTAACTCAAATGTTTACTGGGTACTGCATGTCAGTTTAAAGAGCAACTGGTGGCAGTCCTAATAAAACCTGGGAAGAAAAGAGTAGAATTAAAGAGTATGAGATTTTGTTAACCCTTGGTTTCCATCCTGAAGCTGCTTGATGCTGAACTCACCAGGATTGCAAAACTGCCTTCTGTGAATTCAGTGGCTTCAGTGGAAGGTCCCCGTATGTCACTCAGGTTTTTCCGTTCTCTTCTCACTTTTGGCACAAGTGGTACCCTTTCTACAAATCTAAGCTTGGGCTTCTCAGGAATGGAAACATCTAAAAGGAGCAGAGACAACCAAGAAGAAGTAAAACTGCACATCTCAAAGGAGTCGTTTTCTTCCTAGAAAGATGTATAATTATTAGGTGAAAATGTACAAGTTATCACTGAACAATAATTCCAAAAGTATATTAGCTTTTTCTCATGGACATTGGCTATAGCAATAGTTAATGCAGTATCTGAATCTCTGAAGATAGCAACGTTTTAAGTTGCAAACCCAAATGCATTATTAAACGCTTACTCTTGCCTAACACCATAAAAGAGATACAACTGTCACAGGATAACACAATCTTAACTTTTCTTTTTGAATGTTATACTAAGTGTTAGACATTGAACTGAAAGCTTTTAGTGCATTATCTCACTTAGTCTTTAAAACAACTTTAGAGCTTTGGTAATTTTTTTAGGACCTCCTTTAAAAAATTTTTGAACTTCTGAAAGTTTAACACATATACATCAAAGGGCCAAATAAAAAAGTGCAGATCAGTGAATTATTACAAGATGAACATATAATCACACCTACGTAACTATTGCCCAAATCAAGAATCAACATTAGGCAGGTAGTATTTTTAATCTCCATTTTATAGAAGGGGAACTTGAGGCCTAAAGACATTTTATAATTTGGTCTAAGTCATTCAGTGAAAACAGCAAAACCAGACAATATGCTGTTGTTGTTGTTTTAAATACCATGTCTTTCTGGGTGGGAGTAGTGGAAGGAATAATATAATGTACATGAAAAATCTAAGTTCTGCTCTGCCACATTCTGGTCAGCAAAGTTACAACCTAGGAGTCCACTGATCAGTACTCTTTCCTTTACAGGGGCTTTTCATGCTGAGATCTGCACATTTCCTACAATTTACAACACCTGCTGGGTGAGGGTGGGTGGGCTGAAAGGTAGGCTAGACATGCTCTATCTTTATCACATCTGATATTTTGACAATTTGGGGAAAAACTACTAACTTGTAAATCATTTAAAACACTTATAGTAAAAGAAGCAAGGCTCCATGATGGGGCCAAATACAAAAAGACTTAAAGGAATTATCAAATTATTAATGGCTATTCATGGAAACTGCTCCTCCTCCCCTTTTTATATATAGCTACAGAGATGCTTAGCAATGCTTTCTCTCTGCTCTAAGTCCCTATGTACTTTCCAAGCATGTGGCATTGAACAATTTTGTGAGTAAGCTTAAGGCCCCTTTCATTTTTTGAAGATTCCCAATATGTTTAAAAAAAAGGTAAATTAGATTTACAGATTTGTGGCTTACCTTAAATACTTAGCAAATTAATGCTTTTCACATAATACTGCTAACATTATTACAGTATATGTGGTACATCTTATTTATATGCTTAGCATACAGGAAGTCCTCAGCACATGTTTAGTGAGTAAATGTGGACAGGAAGCACAAGAACATTCCTACGTCTTCACCTACTTTCCTTTGGGTTCCATCAGAGAAGACACAAACGTGCACACGACAAGCTCTCACCTTCAAAAGTCGGCACCGGGAGCAGCGTCTTCAGGCCGGCACTGGCAGGCGGGGCTGCCCACGAATCTACAAAGACGAATAAAATTAAACGACGAAGGCAGACGGCCTGGTACCACCCGGGCCAAAGACATCCTGACGGAAGCGGGGAGAGGGGTGGGACGCGCGCTCCACTAACTGGCCTCAGAGGCTCGGGTCCCCGTAGGCCAGCGGAGGCGTGGGGGCGCCGACCCCCATCCCGCTGTGGCCCTTTCGCAGAAATCCCCAAGGCGGGGTGGTGGCGCAACCCTCACCCGGCCTCCTTTGAGGCTGCGAGTATAGCGTGGAGGCCGGGAGGGGAGGGCAGGGGAAGTCTTCTGGAGGGCCCCAGGGATCTCTGACCTGGCAGCTGCCCTCGCAGGAGCGGCGCACCGGCGCGGGTCAGCAGCCGCCACATGGTCCCCCAGGTTCGGCCGCAACGCGCTCCCGGTGGCCCCCACCCGAGGGCAGAGTGCGGGACTCAGGAGCCACGCTGGAGTTGGCTTAGGATGGCGCTCGACCGAACCGGAAGTTGCGTTGGCGCCGGTCCCCCCGCAGAGAGTCCCGACGGAAGTGGGAGAAACCGGAGCCTTGGAGCTTGGGGTCCGGTGCTGGTGTCAGCTAGTCGCGCGCGGGCGCCGCTTTAGCCCCCTGGGGTTCTCCATCCAGTCAGAGGTCTTTCTCTAGGTGAGGGTGGCAGGGAAGGGAGTTTTCTCCGCGGAGTAGCCTCCTGAGAAAGCGGGTTTACGTAGCATGCTGGTTCCTTAAGATTCATCTACATCGCGCCACTTCTCTAGGAGGCCCCGTCAGGGCCATTAGGAAAACTTAACACTGATTTATCATTGCTTTAACATTTCCTGGGCGCTTGAAGTATGTCAGGCATTGAGTACCTCACTATTGCATTTAGTTCTCCAAACAAATCCATGAGATAAGAAAGTAATTTCATCCATTTTGCCAACTGCATTCCGGGGATCAACGGATTTAACTTTCCAGCGTCACCCACTGTATAATCAGAATTTGAGCACAATCTGTATGACTCCAGAGACCCCAATGACTGGACAATACCAAAGCTTGGTATCAAGGTAAAGTGAAATACATAGTTATTCTGAAGGAATGGTGGGCAAGTTATTTCTAAGGGCCTGAAGCTCTGTAATATTTAGAATGAGACAGGATCTTTTTCTAGGCTTCTTGGACAAAAAATGGGATTAGCAAATTGAAACTGATGTCTTTTGTACTCAAGTCATGTTAAATCTGTATGTTTTCCCCCAAGGATTAATTTCATAAATTGCAACAAATAAAACCTGTAATGCTTTCAAGGCTACTAGGAGAACTTAGGCACTTCTTGATTATCTGCACACTGAATCTGTCTCAAAAGAGTTAATGGACATTTTTATAGCAGACAAATCCAAAACTCTGGAGACTGAGAGATCTCTGAAATAAAAGGGTTTATTAAACCATTACAGATGCTATCCAGAAAAAGGACTGAGTCCTGGGCAGGAAATTTGTTTCATCAGCAACTAGGCTAGTTAATGAAATAACTTATCTGCCAGACTCAAGAAACAGGAACAGTTTTAAGGGATCCAAGGAAAGGAAATTGTTTAAATTTACATTGACTGTAGATGAATAAGGCAGGTGAATGCCAGGTGGGGAGAGTCCTGGGATAGGTGCTTAGTCCACAGAGAAGGCTTTTGCTCAGGGACTGCTCACCTGGTAGAGGGATGCAGTGGTTCTGGGGGCCTTCTAGATTCGTGTTGCAATGACTTCATCCTGGAACATGGAGTCTCTGATTAGCTTTGGCCCTTGGCTATTAACTGATAACCTTCATTTGTCTTTCTGCTCCATTCCCCAGACCTTTTGTTACTTAATTTTATGACATCTCAGAATTTTCCCTCATCACCACTAATCATTTCTGTCCCAAGAGCAGTTCTAAAAGGGTCAACCTCCCCTCCCTCCTGGCCCCTAACCAAGCCAGGGTCAGATTCTGGGCAGCTCTTCTGTGCTGTCTTCTCCCCTCCACCGGAAGTGGGAGATCCAAATGTGCTCAGGCATTTAAAAATCTCAAGCTGAATATTGTGTATATTGTTTTGGATGGGAAATAAACGGGCAGTAGAGTCACTCTTTGATCAGTTTCTACATGTTTTGGTGCCCTAAAGCCTCCACCTCATTGTTTATTTTTAAAAAAGCTGAAAAGTTAACTTGACTTCTACATTTAAATAGTAACTATGAAAATACCTATTTTGCTTTGCAACAGTTGAGTTAGGTACAGTGGAAGATAGAAAGATGAAGAATGGTGATCCTGTTCTTTAGAAATTTGTACTTAGGCAGGGAAGATATGATGAGCATACAAATAACTAATGTTGAGATAGCAGAAAAGAAGTATAAATAAACGGTTGTGAACAACTGAAGCAGGAACCCGAGATCTTCCCTGGTCACTGAAAATGATTTTCCCTTCTTCAGTCTCTCACAGCCCTTTATTTACACTTCTCTTCTGGTAGTTCAGTGGCATTTATTTGCAGGACTTCATTTATTCAACAAGGACTTCATTTATTCAACAAGTATGTATTGAGCATTTTCCTTACTGCCATGCTCGTGTGTATGTGTTATGTTTGTGCACTATTTCATTTTAATAATAGGATGGGGTTTTTGCTTATTAGATTCTAACCATAATATCATAATGTAATAAGTCACCATGTAACTCGCTTGCCCCAGAAAGCCCACAGAACCTTCTCAAGGGGCTAGTTGATACTAGCTTTTCCATCAGTTTAGCTTCCACATTGTGAAGAGCATTTCTAAAAGACAACAGCACCAGAGGCTTTTCCACAACAAAAAACAACATACTGTAATGCAATGTTAATAATTAAAATATTAGGATGATTTGCTATTTACAAAAGGTTCTCATATATACATAGATTATCTTGTTAGAATCCTTTTTGTAGATGTTAATGTTGGAAATGAGGCATAAAAAAAGGACTTCATTTATTTAACAAGTATGTATTGAGTATTTACCTTACTGCCATGAGCAAAATAAATATATCTACACATATTCCAGAACTTTTAAGTTAAATCAGATTCAGTCCCAACTTGGGGAGTTACTAAAGTTTTATAGGAGAACTATTTCAAGTATTTTGCATGAGTAAATTAACAGGCACAAAGAATGTATCAACTCCTGAACTGTTTGACCAAGAAGAGGGACAATGCCAACTATTGTGCTTGTTTTTGTCTTGGCATTACACAGACTATATCCATGGTGTTCCTACAAATGGTTGCACCATAATGAATGATACCCTATTATTGCCTAGTCAAGTTATTGATAAATCTGTCGTTGTAGATCATGCTGCAATGAACATCTTTATACATACACTTTTCGTACTGTTTTGATATTTCTCTCAGGCCAATTCCAAAAAGAGAAATTACTGAATCAAAGGGGATGTTCACTTCAGAAATGTAATTTCTTCATAAATGTTTTGCTTCATACAGTGGTGCAAAATTGGTTTTCACCAGCAGTGTATCAGAGTGCCTACTTATCCATACCTCTGCTAAGCTTTCCTGTACACCGTTTTTTTAGAACTTGCCTGTATGAAGGTGAAAAACCACATCCAGTGTTTTGTTTATAACAGGTTGTTAAAACAGGATTGTTTCCAACTCAGCTTTGCCTGGGGCCCCAAAGTATGTGACTATCTCCACATTCCGAAGTGAGGTGCTGGAACTCCTTCCTAGGCAGGATTTAGGAAGGAGGTAGTAGCAACTGGCTTTGCTGTTCTTAGCTCGCCAGTCTCCTCCAGCATATAAAAAGCACTGGAAAAATGAAGAAAGGAAGTGGAGACTGGAGATTACAGTAAAGATTTCTTTGTATAGAGTTCTAGTGTACTGTAAGTTTCACTGTCCCTCCCAGTGGCTGCGGATGGGGATGCTCTGTCATGCTTAATGAGAGCGATTTCAAGGCCATTCACAGAGCTCGAGGTGGGTCCTGTGCAGCTTGAAAGGGGTTGGTGTTGGACACAGGCTTGAGAGGAGTCTGTGGAGGCTGATTAAAGCTGCCTGTGGCATCAGAGCGGAGGGCTGAAGTTGGGAAGAAGCCATGTTTCCATTGGTGGCAGGTCAAAGGTGTATATATCATGTTGACCAGATGTGGACCCCACACAGTGTGCCAGTTTAGGGCTTTCTTATACTCTTTCCAATAGGACCCCATTGAGGGGCAAAGAGAGAGAAGCTGGGAGAGGTGTAATGATGGGTGTCTGGGGCCTAAGGGAAGAATCCTATACAACCAGCCAGCCATTCAGCAGAGACGAATTTGCCTGTTTCAAGGGGACTACAGATGAGATAATCTCAGCAGTTAGGATAGGGCGTGTGTGTGTGTGAATGCGTGTGCACATGCTCTTTGGTTCTCTGAAGAATCCATAAAGCACACATGAGAGAAAGGTTGTACTTTAAATTATACCCAGACTTCAGTCACCTCCTGTTGGGTGCTGTATGGGTTTTCTGGGGGCTGCTGTAACTAAGTGCCTCAAACTGAGGGGCTTAAACAGCAGAAGTTCATTCCTACCAGTTATGGAGGCCAGAAGTCTGAAATGAAGTTGTCAGCAGGTAGGTTCCTTCTGAGGGATGTGAGGGAAGATTTTGTCTCAGCCTCTGGCCTTGATGACCTGTGTTTCACCACATCGCCTTCCCTCTATGAGTGTCTCTGTGTGTGTCCATATTTCTCCCTCTGATAAGGACACCAGTCATATTGGATTAGGCCCCACCCTAATTACCTTATTTTATTTTGCTTCTGAGGTGATGGACATGTCTATTAACTAAATGGAATCCTTTCACAATATATGCATATATCAAATTACCACAATGTACTTTAAATATTTTACCGTTTTATATGGTAGTTATATCTTAGTAAAGCTTAAATAAAAGAAAAAATACATCCATGAAAAATGGAAGGCTGGTTGTGTCCACCACCACAACCCTTAGGAACATAGAAAAGGAGTCAACATTCCATTTCCCAAAAGCCCCCTTGGCTGACAGGATGTGGTCACGCTTTGTGCGTCACTCATTTCTTAATTACTTTATTTTAACTGGACTACCTCTGCAAAGACCCTTCTCCAAATAAAGTCACATCTGACATTCCGGGGCTTAGGACTCCAAAGTGCTGTGCCCCTCAGCCTTCCCGGAGGGGTCAGAAATAGAGGTGGGAGATCAGGGGCAGAAACAGAGACAGCCCTCCAACCCCCCAACTATTTATTTTCACTATTTGGAGCAGGACTAAGCTGGGGGGTGGTGGGGCAGCTTTACTTTTAAATGGAATTCAGAGTTTTGACTCTGTAACGCAGTATTGGACAGCTTAGTTACAGGAATGAGGATGTTTTCTGTGACTAGAAAAGGCAACTCAACTTTAAATTTTTTTTGATTTGAGTAATAAGAAAATGCAAGACACCAACCTTACAGAGCTGGCTTGGATAAGGAGTCACCAGGAAAACTAAAGGTGATTTCTGATAGCATTTCCTTGAGTCCTACTTAATGTAACTTACATACTGGTTGTAGGTTGTTTTGCTTTCTTTTTATTTTTTTTAATGACCAGTAATGTTGAACTTTTTGTCATATCTTTGGCTTCATATGTTTTTCTGCATATATTTGCTTGCTTATGTTCTTTGTCTATTTTCCAAACATACTATTTATTTTCTTCTTAATGATTCAAAACTGCTTGCTATATATTCAGTATATTAACTCCTGTTCATTTTTATGTTTCAGTGACTTTTTTTCAGGTTTTAATATGTCCTTTAATTTTTTTGAGGTATGACCATGTTTAATTTTTATGCAGGAAAATCACCAGTAATTTTTCTAAGAGTTTCTGATTCTGATCATATGCTGGTAAGGGCTAGAAGTAGTGGTGTAATGTAATTCTTTTTCCAAGTTGAAAACCCTTATTTAATATGTGACTTTATAAGGTACTAAATTCCCTCATAATTTTTTGGTTCCTTTGACATCTTATTCCATTCCCCTCTTCTCCCTGATCTGAAACGAGTTCCACACTGCTTTAACTATTGTCACTTTATTACATATTATTATATGTCTGGTTCAGTTCACTTTAGTTTTCAAGAAAGTGTTCCCTTTTCAAGTGCATGTTTGGTCTCCAAGACACAATTTAGAGCTATTTGGTTCCATTCTTTTTCTCTTTCCATTTTTATTATTTTTATTTTCATTTGTTTAGTCTCAGAGCCATTTACACTTGTGAGCAAGATTTCTTTCTTTCCAAGAATTATGGGATCTCAGTTGGCAGGGGCTAGAGAGGTCTGTTTGGTCAGTGTGTTACCTTCAGTCATGTACTTGTTGTAGGTCCTTCATATATCTAGTTAAAGGCAAGTACAACTGTATACAATTTTTAAATGGGGGGGGGAAGTATTTGGTAGTAATCTTACCTCCTCTCCCCCCTGTATCTTCATAAAAATAAATATGCATAATTGACCACTCCCCTAAAGAAAGTTTAGCCTTTACCAGCCATGGCCAGTAGAGGTCACAAAAGTGCTTACGGTCACTGAAACTAAACCAAATGCATCGCAGTGATGAGCTCACACAGACTATATATTAAGGTGCTTCCTCAAGGTGGCCCTGCAACTCCTCATAGCAGGTCCAAGGTCAGCCTCACTTCCCTGCACCCACCCCTGCCAATACAGATGAACACGTGCAGTTAATTACTAGGCAGGTGCCTAAAAACGAGGTTTTCATATATGAAATCATGATTTCCCCCATCTTAACTGTCTTCCATGCCTTTCTTGTTCCTCTAGCTTCTATCAGATTAGAAGTTAGGGGTGGGACTCTTGCCCACACACACACACACACACACACACACACACACGCACAGACACACACCTACATACACTTTCCTTTCATTGCCCAATTCATGGTTAAACAAGAGAAAGTCATCTTTGTTTAAAATAATTTTCCCCATATTTTGCAGTCGCTTAGTTATTATTGTATTGAATGGAGAAAACTTAGGAAACAGAGAAGCAAACAAAATCAGTCACCCAGAGGAAAGCACTGCAGTCCTCTGGCCTGGATGACATTATAATGTAGTCTGCTTCTCTCCCTTGGCTATGCGTCATGAGTGTCTTTTTGTGTCAGCAAGTGTTTATATTCAACATGAATTTTAATGACTTTTAAGTAGGGTGAATTTTAATGACTTTTAAGTATCCTGTCTTAGGGATCTACTAGGACTTACCTATCCATTGCTTTGTTGTTGGACATCTAGATTGTTTCCATTTTCTCCATATTATAAACATTTAGATATATTGTAAGAGAACACGTGTTCACCACTCCCTGAAGATTCCTTCCACTACAGTCACAGTCCCTGCCTTATGTGGGGTACAGTGACTTACCTACAGGTAGGTTTGGGGTGAGGACCTGGGCCTGTGTGGTTCTCACCTCTCTCCTGGGAGCCAGACTGTTACCAGAGAGCAGTTCTTGCTCTGGGAGGCCGAAAGGGGAGACCTGTGACAGGACAGTGAGGTCTGTCTGCTTCTGGGTTCAGTACTAGGCAAATCACCGAGGCTGCCTATCTAAGGTCCCTGCTCTAATTGTCCCAGTGGACATTTCGATTCTTGTACATCTGTATCTTCTTATGATTTTCACCTTTGTATGACTTTCAGAATTGGGATTTTTGGGGGTCAAAAACTGAGTGTACTTTAGATTCTCTGATACAAATTTTCATGTCCTTCTCTATAAAGTTTGTATGTGTTGACTCCTACCAGCAGAGATTAGAGTTCTGATTATCTTTGAAAGCTTAAAAATTTCTTTAAAAGATCTATAATACCCTATATATAAACACCGTACATATAAAAAAGAAAATTGTACTACACACACACATATATACATGTATACATATAAGGTGTGGTTATAGATCTATATATTTAATATATAAAATATATATTATACATATGTGGTGGGATTATAATTTATATTTAATATGTAAAGCACTAATATTAATCTTCATATTATATATTAAGTGAAAGTTATATTAATGTATTTATACATATAAATTTACATTTTAAATTTGATTTTATCCAGAAAAAATATTGGAAATGGAAGGGGAGAGTTATAACATAATATCATTTATCTGGTTCTGAGCTCTCTGGGAGTCTCATATGAAATACTCTTGGCCATTTCATGTGTGTATGTATCTTTACACTAAGTGATCTGTAAAGGAGTACTTGGCATAAGAAACAGAAATAGGAGTTTTTAAAATGTATCATTTTATTTGTGGAAATGAAGGAGTGTGTTGGTTAATCAAGAAAGATCAGAACGATCTGCAAAGATATCAGCTGGGCCCCCCTCCTCCCCCCGCCCTAGGTTTCAGTGATCACGGGCAGTCATTGCCTTGAGAAGCTAGGCTTTTTTTTTGATGAGTCATAGATGTTGAGACGCTAGGAAAGTTTACATCACTTATTCAGTATAGTGGTTTCCGAGCTTTTCGTAGGAATATGGTAACATTATAGATATCCACTTTTCTGCATAGATTTGAAATGAAGTGAAAAAATTCCTGCCATCCTTTGGAGATGTTCAGTAGGGCCTGAACCCACCTCCTTAGTACTGTGTGAAATTGGCTGTGATATGCTCATGGTTGAAGGGTTTGTAGTCAGCAACTCCTGGAAAGAAGTAGAGGATAAATAACATGAGTTGGCCATGAGTGTGTATAACACCCCCACCTCCCAAAGGACTAGCCCATTTCTAGAGGAGAAAAATCATCCTAGAGTGAACTGGGCAGCATGGCTGGTATGGAAGGAGCACGGGTTTGAGAGTTAGGGAGGCCTCTCCAGGCTCTAGGTTGCCATGTGGAGCATGTCTTTGGGCAAGCCCCTTAAATTGTGCAGCCTCCTTTCCCTCATATATATTTTGTGCTAAAAATATTTACTTTGGAGAATTATTTTCAGGTTAGAGATAATGACTGGCAGGTGCCTACTACAGAACCTGACACATAATAAGTGTGCAGTCAACAGTGGTTATTATTAAAATAGCTTATTTAAGCCAATTTTAGAGCATTCAAAGCAGGAACTCTTCTCCGCTTTTGAAGATTCTGTGAGAAATAAAGAAGGGCAGTGGATTGAGAAGAATCTTGTCTTTCAGGGCAGGAATGATAGTGACAATATTGATGATTAGCTTTCAAGCAGCCAGGCACCAGAAAGGACAATTCCATGCCCAAATATTTTCGGATCTCAGAGTCCTTTCCATTTGCCGTCCTTTCCCCCAGAGGGGAAAATTGACAGATAAGAGAATAAGCCTGATTTAAGTTCCTGAAGCAGTTCTCTAGATGCAGGTGGTAGGAGAACTCATAATAATAATGATTAGCATTTTTGAACATTTAAAATGAGTAAGTCCAAAATGAGACATTGTACTTACTCATTTTGAAAACATTATTTCTAATCCTCACAATAACCCATCTCAAAATGTTTATTGCTGTTTCCATTTTATAGCTGTGGACACTGTGGCTCAGAGAAGTTTCATTACTTGCTATATGCAGTTAGTAAATAAGAGAAGGGGCTTCTAAGCAAGACTTGCGTTACTCCAAGATCTTTATGATATGCTTTGCTGCAATTCCATAAATTCTGACTAGCTAGGTTTTGTTATATACAGGATAGGCTCTAAGAATAGCATCTCTCCTATTGTAATCTTGGATAATGAAGCATCTTTACAAAGTCACAGTCATGGCTGTATAAAACCATACACTAGTGCCTTTTAAGTTGAAGGATATTTTAGTGTTTGTGCAACATTTTAAAGAATGTTAAGGTTTCGCTGAAGTCTTGAGTTTTCTTCTTCCTGCTTTCCCTTCACAAACATGTATGAATAAACATTCTTCTCTCTGGAGATTTTTTAGTAAACAATTAGAGCAAAAAGAAGGTGAAGAATGAATTTTGAGTGAAGCTATGGAGTGTAGAGTTTGGAAACCTGTACTTGACTCTTGACTCTGTGACATGCTAGATGCATGACTTGTACAAGTCCCATTAATGTCCCTGACTTAGTTTCTTTCTCTGTAAAAAGAGAGTCACCAATACCTACAGAGTTGATGTATGAAATAAGATCACCCTACAAAAAGCTATTACTCCTGTCCCTCATATTTGTTCCCACTGGCTATGAATTCAGTGTGCTTTTGTTTTACACACACACATTTAATTTTTAAGCCCCAAACTGCCATCTTCTTAGATCACATACTATTTTTTTCTGTCTCTTTCTTTTTTTTGGTCTCTCTCACATTATCTCCTTTCTCCTGCTTCAGCTCTTACTGCTTTATGTAGGTCTATCTGCTTTTCTTGTTCACTAGATATATTCCTACTGGCTCCTAGTAGTCGGAATTCTTGATTTGAAAAAGCTATTTTAGATAGCCACCCATCATCTTACCTATCATCATCTACCTACCTACCTACCTACCTACCTACCTACCTAATTAACCACTGTACATATATTTATATGTACATGTATGTATAATCACTCAAAATACAGCTATTGTATATACACATACATTCTCACAATTATTTGTTGAATAACTGAATTAATAAATGAAATAAGGAAATGCAAGAATGTAACCTTCAAACTGTGGAGGAAGTGCCCAGATCCCTTTTTTTTTTCTTACCTTCATTCAGAGGTGTTTTGCCACTAAGGAATTGCCAGTATGTCTTATGATTAACATTTTCAGCAATATTGTTGATAGAAGAGACAACAGGGCCCCAAGATGTCATTGTGGTTTCAAATCTGTAAGAATAGAGTCCTATATGGTTAACATCTCACCTTAAGTCAGACAATAATGGGTAAGATGGAGGGGCAGAGATACTGTAGATGTTTTAGAGATCTGATAAAATCATGTTTAAAAAGAGAAAATGCAATGACTAATGAATGTGGAATTACTTCACTTGGAATTAAATGGAATTGAAATGAATGGAATTAAAAAAAAGTCAAAAAATATTTAAAAAATGTAAATGCCCAATAGTGGGTGAATAACTATGTGTGTGATAGAATGAATGTCCCAAATTGAATATTTTACAGTTAGGAAAATTGTATTTTTCAATAACTTTAAGTGATATGGGGACATGCTTGTGCAATAATGTTAAATTTATGTAAACCTTATATGAAATATCTGTCTATCCCATGTATATGATGGATCATAACTGTTATACAATATGTGTAGAAAAAATACCTACCAAATTATGAAAAATATCAACATTGATTTTATTGTGGATGGACTTAAATGGCTTTTCTTCTTTTTGGCTTTCCTCCCTAAGAATGTCTACTATGTGCATTCATGACATCTAGAGCCAGAAAAAGAAAGAATCAGGCAAAATTAAAGCTAAGCTCAGAGAAAACATAAAGTATACTCAGGGTGGTTTGAAAATTAAGTATTTGACTTAATTTTTTAATTAAAAAGTATTTTCAATTTTAAAATTGAATTATGATTTTTTCCTGACCTGTGTACAGAAGTTCGGGAAGTTCAGGAGCCAGGCTGAGGGCAGTACTTATGTACTTGACCTAACCTTGTGGGGTAGATCCCGCGTATCACTCAATTGTCAATTTCTTGGCCTTTGTCAGTCTTTCTCCTTGACACCTCCCTGCAGAATTTGGATCATGTCATCCTTCCTTTGAAAATACCTCTTCTTTTTTGCGCCATGACCTGGCGTTTCCCCCCTACTCCTCCTAAAGCTTAGTCTCTCCATATTTCTCTACTGCTTCCTCTTTTTGCAAACTATAAATTCTTCCCAGTGTTTAATTTTCTCCCCTGTCACTTATTTCTCTATTCTGTCCTTTCTCAACAGGGCAGTGGAAAGAACATGAGCTTCAAAGTCAGTCAAATAGGCTTTAGATCTCAGCTCTGTTAGTTACATGTTATGTGGTCTTAGGAATATTACTTAACCTCTTTGGGCCTAAGTGGTTCTATCCATAAAATGGAGTGAGTAGATATGTCTCAGGGTTTTACTGGGAACATTGTCTCCACCACTTTGTGCACAGTTCCTGAACTTTGATCATCACCTCTATCAGACGACTGTCCAATCTATTTAGCCTGTCCTGACCTTTCTCTTTAGGACATCCTCTATCCCCCCAAAGCCTTCTAATGTTTCTGTTTCTAACACCCACAATGAACCATGTCTAAGGAACAAGTCTTTTTCTCTGAAAGACATTCTTTCTTCCTGACACTCCTTTTAAGAGTTTTGAAACTGCTTCTCTTGACTCCCGTATCAGTACTCACAGCACCCAGCGGAGTTCCTTTGTATGGGTGGGTCCATTTCTCCTGGATGAAGTCCCCCTCACTTAACAGCTTCCTTACTGTAGTCAAGGCCAGCTTTTCTCCCGTCTTCCACTCTCAAACCCAGGTAACATTTTATACCAGGACTGCTCTTACTCACAAACTTGCAATGCTTCTCTGCAATATGACGTCCAATCTCCTTAGCCTGGCATTTCAGACGTTACAATATCACCCAGCTTATCCTTCCAGATATCACTCACTTAATTAAATCCTGTATTCTTTTTTTCCTGTCAGGCTGTTCTACTCATTGGCCTTGAATTCTTTGCTCATTCCTGTCTCTAAAACTTCGTCATGTATTGGCTTGTATGATATAATTTTTCATGAAAGCCTTGCCTCCTCATGAGATTGTAGGCTCCTCAAGGGGCTATTAAATAAAGATCTATTAAATTATCAGAAGGAATAAAAGCAAGAAAATGAAAGGAGGAGAGGAGGAGAATGGGCAGTCAGGTCAGGCTTGGGGGCCACGGTGACTGTCACTTGTTTTGCTCACTTGAACGTGGGACTTTTGCGCTGTGCTTCCTCTAGGACAGCAAGTAACACTGATCCGTTTTTCACACTGACTTCGATGGTCACATTGAAGAGCAGTTCCACGCCTCTCAGCTGGTTGTTTATGGTGTAGATGACAGTGATGCTGGAAGCTAAGGTGGGGACAGGACTGGGATGGCTGGGTGGAGTGGGTTGCACCTCTGTGAAGACAAAAAGGCCAAATTTGCTAAAGATTATGGGGTTTGTATTATAGATGCAAAGGCTCTGTTACTGACAACTCGTCCCAGGAAACATTTCAAGAAATGGCAATGATTTTGTGTCCTTTGTGGATTGTTCTGAGGGTCTGGTATGATCTATGAAGCTCTCATTCTAGAGAATTGATTGTAGCTGCAGAACTTACAGTTTTACAATGAACATTTATTTTGTTAAACTTTGTAACCTGAAGAGAGGATTGTGAGCCCTAAACCGTGTATTTTACATGGAACTCACTGTTCAGCTATGGTGTTTTATGAACCCTAAGAGTCTGGAGCAAAAGCAATACATTTTAGGCCATTTAAAAAAATATCTGGGTCACTAGTGTAGAATCCTAAGAAGGATGCCATGGCCACTTTTTTAAAGATGGGAAGTCACTGGGCATCAGCCTAGGGAGGGAGGTGAATGTGGCTGTGTTTGGTCTTACTAGGATAGGTTTGCTTGATGGTGGTTTCTGTAGATTCTTCACCAAGATAGACAAGGAGATTATTAATCTCTGCTTCTTTTAGGAAGTCCATGTAACATAAGATGAACAATATATTCTGTTAATTCTGATTATAAAGAAGAGTTGGAGGAATCTATACCAAAGACTAGTTATCTCTGTAGTGATAACATTTTTATGCAGGACTCCCACTTTCTCCATTCATAGTTCTCTAATGTCTGAATTTTTTAAGTATCTCTGTTTTATATCTGGATGAAAAAGATATTTCAAATAAAAAGGTAACATGGCAGGTTTCCACCCCTTTGGTGTGCTGTGAGCACCAAGGCTTCAAATTTAGATCTCCAAGTCTTGGCTGAAATATCAATTCTGTTCTTCTCCTAGCCCCCCAGACATGGCCAGTGGTTAGTCACACTTTCTTTGCTTTTGTACTGTGTGTGGCCTCTGTTTTATTTCATTCTTCCAAATATTGTAGTTTTTGTCCACATATCTATCTCCAAACTTTGTAAAGAGAAAATATAATAAGATACTACATAATGTTGGTAATTTGTCAAATGAATGAATGAAGTTATATGTTATATGATTGTTGGGCCATGGACCTTCCCTCCCCACCAACATCCCACAGAAGGTTTTACCTTAGAGGTGCACAATAAATGTGCACTGAATGAAGTAGACATGGGGGCTGAATTCTGAGGGCAAGATGGCATGGCCATGTGTTGGCACACAACTTTTGGGGATTGTAAGTCAGATGTGTCTCTGCCTACATAGGGGTAATGAGAGAAAAGCCTGTATGCTACTTAAAAGTGATCCACATATCATTATTGGATAATGTGACACTTTATGACATAAGGAGAGGCAGATGTTAAGAGTTCTTACCAGGGCTGCAAGACACGTGGGGCACATCTAGGTATGTTTTGCCTTTTAGGGATGGGAGGATCTGGGCAATGGACATGGGGTTGTGGAATTTCCCTTGGTCAATCTCCGAAAGTATTGTATCCACGGTCTTCCTGCAGTTCCACTGTTTGTTAAGTTGCATAGGTGTCACGGAGAGAGCCTGGCACAGGAAGAGAGAATGAGAATTATTAGGCACAGCTGAAAGTTGACCTTTCTCAGCGCCATCCTCAGAGTCCTTCCCTGATACAGAGATGATGGGAGAGAAGAGCTTTTTTTTCCTGCTGAGTTTATCAGCTGGGACAGCCACGGTGACTGTCACTTGTTTTGCTCACTTGAACGTGGGACTTTTGCGCTGTGCTTCCTCTAGGACAGCAAGTAACACTGATCCGTTTTTCACACTGACTTCGATGGTCACATTGAAGAGCAGTTCCACGCCTCTCAGCTGGTTGTTTATGGTGTAGATGACAGTGATGCTGGAAGCTAAGGTGGGGACAGGACTGGGATGGCTGGGTGGAGTGGGTTGCACCTCTGTGAAGACAAAAAGGCCAAATTTGCTAAAGATTATGGGGTTTGTATTATAGATGCAAAGGCTCTGTTACTGACAACTCGTCCCAGGAAACATTTCAAGAAATGGCAATGATTTTGTGTCCTTTGTGGATTGTTCTGAGGGTCTGGTATGATCTATGAAGCTCTCATTCTAGAGAATTGATTGTAGCTGCAGAACTTACAGTTTTACAATGAACATTTATTTTGTTAAACTTTGTAACCTGAAGAGAGGATTGTGAGCCCTAAACCGTGTATTTTACATGGAACTCACTGTTCAGCTATGGTGTTTTATGAACCCTAAGAGTCTGGAGCAAAAGCAATACATTTTAGGCCATTTAAAAAAATATCTGGGTCACTAGTGTAGAATCCTAAGAAGGATGCCATGGCCACTTTTTTAAAGATGGGAAGTCACTGGGCATCAGCCTAGGGAGGGAGGTGAATGTGGCTGTGTTTGGTCTTACTAGGATAGGTTTGCTTGATGGTGGTTTCTGTAGATTCTTCACCAAGATAGACAAGGAGATTATTAATCTCTGCTTCTTTTAGGAAGTCCATGTAACATAAGATGAACAATATATTCTGTTAATTCTGATTATAAAGAAGAGTTGGAGGAATCTATACCAAAGACTAGTTATCTCTGTAGTGATAACATTTTTATGCAGGACTCCCACTTTCTCCATTCATAGTTCTCTAATGTCTGAATTTTTTAAGTATCTCTGTTTTATATCTGGATGAAAAAGATATTTCAAATAAAAAGGTAACATGGCAGGTTTCCACCCCTTTGGTGTGCTGTGAGCACCAAGGCTTCAAATTTAGATCTCCAAGTCTTGGCTGAAATATCAATTCTGTTCTTCTCCTAGCCCCCCAGACATGGCCAGTGGTTAGTCACACTTTCTTTGCTTTTGTACTGTGTGTGGCCTCTGTTTTATTTCATTCTTCCAAATATTGTAGTTTTTGTCCACATATCTATCTCCAAACTTTGTAAAGAGAAAATATAATAAGATACTACATAATGTTGGTAATTTGTCAAATGAATGAATGAAGTTATATGTTATATGATTGTTGGGCCATGGACCTTCCCTCCCCACCAACATCCCACAGAAGGTTTTACCTTAGAGGTGCACAATAAATGTGCACTGAATGAAGTAGACATGGGGGCTGAATTCTGAGGGCAAGATGGCATGGCCATGTGTTGGCACACAACTTTTGGGGATTGTAAGTCAGATGTGTCTCTGCCTACATAGGGGTAATGAGAGAAAAGCCTGTATGCTACTTAAAAGTGATCCACATATCATTATTGGATAATGTGACACTTTATGACATAAGGAGAGGCAGATGTTAAGAGTTCTTACCAGGGCTGCAAGACACGTGGGGCACATCTAGGTATGTTTTGCCTTTTAGGGATGGGAGGATCTGGGCAATGGACATGGGGTTGTGGAATTTCCCTTGGTCAATCTCCGAAAGTATTGTATCCACGGTCTTCCTGCAGTTCCACTGTTTGTTAAGTTGCATAGGTGTCACGGAGAGAGCCTGGCACAGGAAGAGAGAATGAGAATTATTAGGCACAGCTGAAAGTTGACCTTTCTCAGCGCCATCCTCAGAGTCCTTCCCTGATACAGAGATGATGGGAGAGAAGAGCTTTTTTTTCCTGCTGAGTTTATCAGCTGGGACCCTGTGGGTGAGCACTGATTTGTTAGTGACTCTCTTAGCCACTCTGAAGAAGCCAAGCAAGGAGAGAATGAGGAAAACCAGGGCTGAGATGAAAAAAGAGTGGTCCCTGAAGTCATTTGCATCCTTGACTCTGGTTAATCCTAAACCACCGAATCTAGGCCTGAACTCCCAGTTTATGTGAAATAGTAAATACCCATGTTTTCTTATGCAAAAATGATTTGGGTTTCTGTTATTTGCAAAATGATCCCTGATTAATACACCAAGCAATTCAACTATAAAACTACTTTGCTGAGTTTTGTATCTCAGAACTAAAATAGAAAGTGTAATTCCTCCCTGATTCATAGGGGAAGTTTCATTTCAGGTTCAGATGGGATGATATACAAAAGCATTTTTTAATGTGTGCTGTGTGAGCTGTCATTACCACCTCCCTCCCTATAGGGTTGTGCTGACCGCTGCTATCAGAACATGTTAATGGTCTGGGACTGCTGGGACTGATTCATCTGAAACTTAGCATGGGAAATAGATGGGAGAGGGAGTCAGAAACGGCTCTGGGAGCCAGAGGCAGTTGTATGAGCAACCAGTTTTGATGGGCATGACCATTACTATTAACTTTGGCAACTATGAACCCTGGCTCATGCCAGAGGCCACTTTACAAGGCAGTTTTGGTTAAAGGGCATCAGGTAGGTATTTCTCAGCAGTTCCTACCTTGTCTCATCCACTTGCCATATTCACCTCCCAAATCCCACTAAGTAAGACGTGTCCACTTGGGATAAAACATCATCAAGACCAACACTGGGGAAAAGTAATGCATGAAGCTGTGTGAAGCCATTAATAATGGTATGAAGAAGCTTATCAGATCTCTTTCTAAGTTAAATTCCTGTCCGAGGACCCTTGAAAGCATTGGAATACTGACGGGAGAAAGAGGAGACATTCTGGAACAGAGGAAGTGCCTCATGAGTGTCCTTGGGAAGCCGTGTGGGTGGCCCAGGCCATGTGAAGGACACCAACGTCCTGGAAGATCGTGAGTGAGGGGCCTTGATATCAACAGTCTTCTGCTGGGAGGGACTGTGGACAATTATTGAGCACACATTGTGCCCATGATTTTTTCTATCTTTGCAACCCTATTACTACGGGGGAAATGAAATTCAGAGAAATTCAGCATTTTCCCATGATGGTTGCAGATCTAGGACTCAAATTCAAGTTGTTAACAGCTCCAGCGTGCTTTACTTTTCTACCCCCCAACACTTCACATTGGAAAAAGATTATGTATACATTTGATGATTTCAGAATTCAGCTACCTGGGTAAACTCCAGATACAGACCACAGGGAGAGGTTATGTATCTTAACCGACAAGAAATCCATGTGGCCTATGATGTCTGGTATGAATGAGGTCTGCCTTTTCATAGGAAAAGCTTTAGCTCCCAGGTACATCTTATCAGAGTGTACCCTGCAGGTGATAAAATCCCAAACAGAATTCACAAGTCAAATTAGTCAAAGCAAACAATTCTCGGTTAGCACTAAGGTGAAGAAAGGTTATTTTAAGTGAGATAAATAAAATCTGTCTTATACCCAGACTGCCTTTGTTCCCCCGCAAAGCTTTCTAGACCTGAGCCCTGGGATTTGTCTTTTATGATTCAGCCATGGTAACAAACAGTGTTTTGTTCCACTGGAAAATTCCAGTAACTGTGACACAAAATAGAAACTCTGTTCTCATTAGGTGCTTCTATACATGGTACATTGGAGTGGGGATGTTGTATTTACTCTTCATATTTAACGTGAACTAATTTCTAGTCTGTTTATGCCCTTCACTGATTTCTAATGTGTGGAATATCAATACCAGTCTCCACTACCCCACCAGAAAATTTCTTTCTAACACTAGTCCAGAGCTATGTTAGAGTTAGGGCTGGCATTATAACTTCATGATTCTGTTTCCTTTGAAGGTCATGACGTAGTATTTTGTATTAATCTCAAGGGCATTTCGAGACTTTGGAGCACAGACTTCTTAGTTTGGACTAGAGGATATGGCCACAAATGACCCTTTAGTTTGTGATTGTAGTTGGTTATCTTTTCCCACTATCACTGATTTATATTCCATGCTAGGATTCTGCCCTAATTAATCCTAATCAATGGGGAGGAGGTGTTTGTATTTGCAGCTGCATCAAGCAGAATCTTATAGAACCCAAGCCTGGGAATCTACACTAGGAAAGCACAGGGCTGAGTATGGGCTTGACTACCAGACACACCTGGCTCTGCCATTTATTAGGGCTCTTTGTATGGTTGAAGCGAGATTGAGATTGTAAAAGAGTTAGATAAAGATTAGACATCCAGCCAATTTTAGATTTTTCATTAATCATTAGAAGTCTGCCCTTTTGGGATTAAGATAAAGGGCTGAGAAAAGAACACTTGACTGGCAAGATGGAACCAGAAAATTCAGTATTTTTTTTGAGGACCTACTTTAATAGCCTTATTTTTTATACATGAAACTTACATTTGTCTATGATTTATGAACACCCTGATCATTATTATAAATAAAGCAATATGTTTCTTGGGTTTATTTGCTTTTTCGTTTTCCCAGGAAGGGAAATTCATGAAGATATGTTCTCTCACTTTACCTTTGAGGTAGGGAGGAATTAGCACATTCGTGCATTACACCAGCAGAGAAACTGAGGCACAGTCACCACGCAGACTCTGCTTTGAGTCAGCCGTGTTGGCCTTTTCCAGAGGTGTTAGAAGAAGCCTGGTCTCATGATCCTGCCATCCAGTCTTGCTGGCAGGGACTCAGTGAAGAACACCAGTGATGGGCTTACCTGCATGGCGAGGCCAGTGCTGTAGATGTTTCCAATGATGCCGTTGTCTTCGATCCTCATGCTCATCTGCTCCACAGTTTTATTTAGGACCTCAACAAACAGGGCTTTGTAACCTTCCTCTGAACCTATAGGGATCTTGTTGTACATGCAGGTCAGAGCCAAGGTCACCATTGCTCCTGTGTCTGAATCACAAAAAGGACAAGACGACCACCCCACCACACAATATGAACAGCTAACATATTGTGTGCTTATTGCAGTCCAGCTACATTATCTCCTTTACTCTTCAGGGCAACCTGTGAAATAGGACCTACAGTTACCTCTGCTTCAGGGATGAGGAAATGGGGCTCAGAGAGGTTAAGTAACTGCCCAAGACCACACAGCTAATAAGTAGCGGTGCCAAGACCCGAACCTAGAATTTGTATGACTCCACAGCTCATGCCTTTTATTGATATAGACTGGCAATACATTCAAATCTACATTCAAGTATGACAAGTCTTGATGTTTATCTTTGGAAATGGCACCAGTTCTTTAAGGCCCAGCTTTCACTATCTCTCAGTGAAGCCTTCTCTGGTCATCCCAGCACAGGATTTGAGGTTTCTTTTCCAAGCTCCTTTAGCATTGGTTCCTTGTGCCTGTTTTGCAGTCTCGGCCGTCTCTACTGTGTTTTGTTTTTTCTGTGCTCTGTGAGCCCTTGGATGGTGGAAAATTTGCATCTACCAGAGGACCCAGCACAGGGACGTTTTCATTATTTGCATAGGAAAAGGCTTCGGGTTGGAATGTGTAAGCTCTGGCATGACAAGGCTAGAACAAATTAAAAGACTTGCCACATGACACCTTTTCTTTCCTTGTTCCTGCCCTCCCTGCCCTCATCTCCACCTGAAAGTTGCATAATCTCTCTAAGGGTGATGATATTGTTGAAACCAGTATTGACAAAAAAAGTCAAATTTCCTGAACTGGCAGATACGCTCCAGTGAGGTCCCAGGTGGGAAACAGAGGCCAGTCTGTTCTCCACCCATAGGGAGGGGACTAGAATAAATACCTACCTGCTTGTTGGTAGAAAAGAGCCTGCAACAAATGAGGTTAATGCCTGAGTTAATGCTGTTGCTTGGCGAGTGCCAGAGGTGGAAAGGTGACCGGAATGAAGACATGACAGTGGCTTCCAGTGGCATTGTATAGAGAAGGGATCATTATATGCAGAAGGGCCAGCAGAGGAAGGACATGGTGTTGTAGAGGAAAAGGTTCCATTCACAAGCAGCCGTCTGCTTGCCAAAGGAAGGAATAAGATGGTTTCAGCATTTCCCTGAAGGGGAGCATTGTGGATTTAGGGTTTAGACAGTAACTCTTTAATAGGAAGAGAATATTTGGATGTTATAAGGAGAAGCATTGAGAAGAACAGAGTGTGGACACATCAGTAGTGATAAAAGAGAGAGTCCAGGGCAGGGCTGAGTCTAGACATTGCTTTAATAATTTGCCTGGGAACCACTCCTGACTTGGGTAACATGTTTATTGTTCCCAGCGGAGATTCTGGAATGGCTGGACATTTCAAATGTTGTCCTGGTTTCTGTTTTACTATCTCCTTTCCATTTATTCTTTAATTCACAGGTCCAGACAAATATTTGTTAAGTAGCTCCCACCTAAAGACATATCATGTAAAGTCCTCTCTCCCACTTTTCCTTCCAGCTCCACCATTCAGTGCCCTTGATGTTCCCAGCTCAGGACAGTGTTTGAAAGTGGTGGCCTACTCACCCACATTGAAGGGAGAGAAGTTGTTCCATAGGATCTTGGCAAGGCGGGCTGCTATTGGTAAGGTCTTCTCAGGGTTCTTCTGGCACAGCGCCAAGATTGCCAGACTGGGCCCATAGAAGGTTGAAGCCTGGGCATTGGAGCCTTAGGAAGGGATAGAGAGCCTTGATGAGATGAACATTCACCATGAGGACATTTGTGAAAAAGGAAAAGCAAACCTTTTAAATAGAAGTTTCAAGAAAACCTGTGCAAAAAGACAGCATATTGGCAAAAGATAACTTCACTGTTTCTCAGAACAAGAATGTCATCTGGCACAAGAATAGAACAAAAGGGATGATGCTATCTTCAGGTGATGACATAAGTTTGTGTCCCCAGGATAGTGGCCAATTCATTTGAATTGCGAATGAATATCTCACTTCAGAGAGAACCTGAGTGGAGGTACATTGTGTCTCTTCCCCAACTTGCCACTCTCCCATCCTTTCCTTTCTAGGTTTGAAATTCTCAGGGAGGACTATTTGCCTCACTCTTCCCTCCCTGCTGTTGAAGTCTTACCTGAAGGGGTCCAGCTTTCCATTTGCCTCTGTAGAGTCGATACTTTATTCCCAGGGTCTCGACAGGAGGAGGTGAGGGCCATAATGGTGAGGGCGAGCTGACCAATGGTCAGGTCTTCAGAGAAGAGAATAAAATAGATAAACAAAGGTATCTCAGGGGAAAGAGCACCAGGGGCCGGGGCTGAGCTCTGTGCTTCTTAACCAGATCGTTATGATTTTTAAATAATGTGATGAGATAGTTTTTGATCTGTCTTTCTTAAGGAGAGAAGGATGGAAAATTACTTAAGGAATGTTTAATCTAGTGGCCTCTTTGTAACTTGATGATGCCATCAAGAATCCCAAATCCCTAGTATCTTTCAGAAAAGCAGCAAGAACACCCATACAAATTCATAAATGAAAAATTATAGTTCCAAAATAATTTTTTAATTTTATTATCTAACCTGAGCCTCAAGGTGACTCCTGTGAGGTAGGCAGGACAGAGATTGGACTATTATCATTGTGATATTACTATTAGTGTATTGTTATTAGAATTGTCTGCATTTTGCAAATGAGGAAGTGAGGTTGATGGGATCAGGTCACAGAGTTGGTAGGTGGCAGAGGCCGACTGGAAGCTCACTCCTTTTACATCTGGTCCAGGGTTATTTTTCCTTTACCTTCCTCCTCTCTGAATGCCCTGACTTCACACATTACTTTCCAGGTATGTAAGGAAAGGTGCTTGAGTGATTCAGGGACAATCCCAGGCAGCAGTTGGGCAGGGGGACATGGCATCTGGGGGTGGGGGTCTAGGGGGCACGTGGAGGGCTCTGCCTTCTCACCATCTGTGTCACTGGCCATAAGCCTGTAAGTGAGGAGCTTCTGGGCCTCCAAGTTGTAGGCTCCAGCCAGGTTCATGGCAATCAAGATGCTGGGATTTGGGTAGGCTGAGCTGGTCACAGAGTTCTCCATGAGGACTTGTATGCCATTAACCAAGGGCTGCTGTGCCGAGGGAACAGCTGAGAAGAGAAAAGCCATTTACTAACCCCCCAACCCTCACTCCCTCTTCTCAGGAACTTCTCCTGCATTTTTTAGGAGAGGACACAGTTAGCATCAGTATCCTCAGAGACACCCCCTGTAGGGATAATAATTAAAGAGAAATGGAGAAAACATTGAGATTTTTCATTGGAGGCTAATTAGTCCCTGCATCTCAAATGACTGTTATCTTTAAGCCAGTGATTTCTCACTTAATAACTTCAAGCAATATGGCTCAAGGACATTTCATATTATTTCTAGCACATTCCTAGAAATCAGCGATTTCCTTGCATCCTTTTCTTTTTCTCAGTCTGACATGAAAAATATGAAAGATTTGGGATGTGACGTATCTTCAGTGAGTACCCAACATGTTTACCTGTACCTGTTCAGAACAGCTGAGTGTCTCTCTTTTGCACTGTCAACCATCATTCTTACAACCATATTTCAACCTCGCAATATTAAATGCACAGATTTGCCTCTCTAAGAACTTATGCTGTTGTAACTCTGGGGGAAAGATATGTTCCCAGCCTGGGGCAAATAACCTTTGAAACCAAAGTCAGTCAAAGGGAGAAATAAAATGGGAGGAATCCATTTATTGCTTACAAGCAGTCACCCACTTCTGCTTGCCTGTGTCTCTTGTGACCTGGCTGCATAAAGGGACCCCACAAAACCTCTCCAGTCCAGATATACACTCCCTCCCCAAACCCTTGTAATCACTTATTGATATGAAGATAGACTACTTTTCTCCACTCTTTGGAGATGCAGTAAGGTCAGGTGAGAGATTCTGGACATACTGCAATTTTACCGACAGCTGTTAAGTCAGGAAAGGTGAACCACACACTCACACCCTGCCTCACCCCTTTGGGAGCTCCTGTAGTGTGGCTGTTCTCAACCACTTTTTCATCAGCAAACCTCAGTGTCTGAGGATTCTGCCTATCTCCGGGATAACTGCTTCTATGGCCCCCTTGGAAAAAAAAGTACTCACAGCATGAGCTTTGGGTCTGCATGCTGGTCCCAGCTAGAGCCCAGAGAAGGTTCAGCAAGTGTAGGTTACACCAGGCCATCCCACTCTCTCCTGTTCTGTCTGCACCTCTTGTCCACAAATCCCCATTTGCTGGTAGAGAGTTTCTCTTTTTTCCTCTTATATATGCTTCTCTTTGTAAAGCAGTTTATCCCCCCACCCCCCACACTGCAGCTGCTCCTAACCCCTGTGCTGACCTTTGTCTCCCTGATAAAACTCATATCCATTTGCTTATCTCCCTTTACCTACTACAGACTCTTCATGGTGTCTGAAGGTGACTTCTAGGCAGTACAGTCAGATGAGACACCTGGGCTGGGTGTGCAATGAGGAAAGTGATGACAAAGTGCCATTTGCCAAAATTCTGGGGTGTCATGTCAGGAACTTGACTAATGTGCGTGTGCATATAGATGAGACCTCTTCACAGACCTTCTCCATCCAGTCAGACAACCTGCTGACTGTTTATCAGCAACCACTCCATTGAGGTCTGGGCGGTTCCTAAGGCACCACCTCACTTTATGGTTCAAGGCATTTGCTTCACAGTGCGCCCTTGTATTCTCTCCGGTGAGCATCTGCCAGGTGAAGTCTGGCTTTATGTGATGTCTAATTCAGTTGATATGACCTGGGTTCTAGCATTGGCTCTTAAAAGCTGTTTGACTTTAGGCAAACAGTGGACCGCAGTTTCCCCAGAACCTTTTTTTGAAGTCTCTTTCCTTATCCGGGGACAAAAGCCATTTCAAACGCTAGGGCTTTCAGATGTTATCTCTTAAAGGAAGTGATTAGAAAATGTGGGATCAATAAACTGTATTAAGTGTATATATATTTTTCAGAAGTGTAGCTATATTATAAAACAAAGTATACTTTTCTTATAAGGGAACTAGAAATAATATGTTAAGATTATGGAGGAGAGGGATAATTTTTTTTCAACCACTGGAGTTTAAGCAGCTCCTTTTATGGGGACACTGTTCAGTGGTTCTCACCTTAGAATAAAATTTAAAGTTCTTTAAATGACCTCCCAGGCCCCATGGCTTCCAGTTGCCTTTCTCACCACCTGCAGTGGCTTTCTCTCCTGCTCACTCTGCTCCTGCTACACTGAACTCCCTGTTTTCCCTTGAACCCATCATCCATCATTGCACACGTTGCCCCCTTTTCCCAGGACCCTGTTCCTCCAAATATTCTCATGGTGGCTCCCTCACTTCCTTCATGTCTCCTCTCGAAGTCCAGCTTTTAGAGAGGCCTTCCCTGACCATGGTGTATCAGAAAGCCCCCACCACCCTCACCAGTGTACATCCACCTGCTATAACTCCCCACCCTCTGTCTCCTTCTCTACTTAATGTCCACGCCGAAGGGGAAGGGAATTGTTTCCTTTGTTCATTGCTCTGTCCCGAGCACTTCAGACACCACCTAGCTCACAGTAGGAATCTAATACATACTGTCTGGGTAGGTGAATTAATGAACCAATTCAAGACAAGGGTTATAAAGCATTTTTTCTCAGGGAACATTGGTGATTTTATGAGGTGAAAAAACAGCATACATGCTAGAATGTGCTGGATAGCTGCTACCATGGCCCCATGTTTCCATCTCCTGGTGTTCATGCCCTTGTGGAATCCCTGTCTCTAGAGTGTGGACTGGCCTTGCTTCTAGTGATGATAATACAGAAAAAGTGTTAGGCAGAATGAGGTTACCGAACTCCAGCTTCACTCTGGAAAAGGCAAGACTTGCCGTCTCTCTGGCTCGTCTCGCTTCTTGCTCTGATGAGGCCAGCTGGCGTGCTGGGAGCTGCCTCGTGGAGAAGCCCATGTGGCAAAGAACTGAGAGAAACCACCGGCCAATAGCCAGGGAGGGAGGAATCCTGCCAACACCTAGATAACTGAGCTTGAAAACAGATCCTTCCCCAGTCGAGCTTTGAGGCAAAGCCTCAGCCAATATCCTTTTTTGAATTGAAGTATAGTTGATAAATAATCTTGAATTAGTTTCAAGTGTGCAATACATATTATTAACCCCCCACACTAGTACAGCTACTATCTGTCAACATAGGAGGATGTTACAGCACATTGACTGTATTCTCAATGCTGTACTCTTATCCTGGTGATGAACCTACATTATGATTGATATTTTTTTGTGCCCCTTTATTCCCCTCACCTTCCCACCCACCCACCCCAAACCTTCCCCCGTGGTAACCGCCTGTGCCTTCTCAGTGTCTGTGAGTCTACTGCTGTTTTGTTCATTATGTTTTGCTTTGTATTTATATTCCAAAAATAAGTGAAATCATATGGTATTTGTCTTTCTCTGCCTGGCTTATTCCATTGAGCATAATACCCTCTAGATCCATCCATGTTGTTGAAAATGGCAGGATTTCTTTTTTTTTTTAATGGCTGAATAATAATCCATTATGTATATGTACCACATCATCTTTATCCATTTATTTATTGATAGAAACTTAGGTTGCTTCCATATCTTGGCTATTATATATAATAGCCATATCTTGGCTATTATATATAATGCAGCAGTACATATAGGGGTACATATATCTTTTCAAATCAGGGTTTTTGTTTTCTTTGGATAAATTCCTAGAAGTATAATTACTGGGTTGAATGGCATTTCTATTTTTAGTTTTTTGAGGAATCTCCATACTGCTTTCCATAGTCTAAGCCAACATCTTGATTGCAGCCTTTTGAAAGACACTGATTCACAGAAACTGTGAGATAATGAATACTGTTTTAAGCCTTTAACTTTTAGAGTGACTTGTTATGCAGCAACATATAACTAATACATGGTGTATGGTGGGAGATGAGACCACAGAAAGATGGTTAGGGTCTGCATGGTGGAGGGATTGTATGTCATACCAAGGAGTAGTAGCAGAATACCTAACCCCCCACCCCCAACTACCCCTGCCCTCCCCACCCCAGATGACCATGTCCTAATTCTTGATACTTGTGAATATGTTAGGTTACATGGCAAAGGGGAATTAAGGTTGTTAGTGAGCTACCCCTAAAATAGGAAGATTATTCTGGACTGTCTGGGTGGGCCCAGTGTAATCAGAGGTCCTTATAAATGGGAGAGGGAGGCAGGAGAGGTGATGACACAAGCAGAGTTTAGGGTGACAGCACTGCTGGGTTTGAGGGTGGGGGGAGCCGTGAACCGAGGGGCACAGGCATCCTCCAGAAGCGGGAAAAGGCAAGGAAATGGATTTTTTTGCTAGAATGTCAAGAAGGAACACAGCCCTTGAACACCTTGATTTTACCCGGTGAGATCCATTTCAGCCTTCTGACCTCTGGGACTGTACGAAAATAAATTGATCTTAAACCAGGCAGTGTGTGATAATAAGGATCTACTACAGGATTAAGAACCCAGTGTGGTGCTGACTTTGGATTTCCGAGCCTGCTCATGACCATCCTGAGATGGCCCACACCCACTTAGTGTGCCAATCTTTAAACATACACTTCCTTATTTTAATCATACAGCCACTGTTGCTGTAAGACTCATTATGATACAACTGTTTCAGTTAGCAAATAACTTCCAGAGCAGGAACCAGACGGGCCATACATTTCTTAACATGTTTTGACAGCCCTTGGCTAACTATTGAAAGGGCTTCTTTATTATTTATTAGCTTATTTTGTCCTATGCCCAATTTTCTGGTATCAAAGCACCCAGACTTTCTTTGCACATCTGAAAGGTTTATTTGTGCTGATTTTCCTTCGCTGTGGCAGCAGGTAGACATTTCTCCTTTCAGGCAGTCTTGGCTCTGTCATGGTCCCAAGCTGCAGGAGATCCTCATAAAGAAAGTGTGGCCAGAGGTAGGCTTACCTGGGCAATGTTAGTGGAATGCTAAGGGAAGGTTATTCCATTAACCATCACGTCTGTCTCTGAGGTTAAAGGCACTTCTATCAGCCGGCAATGTTACCACTCTACTAAGAGAACACTGGTTGGGAGAAACTCAGCCCTCTCTGATTAAGAATGGAGGAAGCTAGTGGCTAGAGGGAAGTGTTAGAAAACAGTGGCACCAAGTGGGATTTTTGTGTTTGATCCAGTGAGAAGAATTAAATGAGAATTACAAAGGAAATCCCTTTTTAAAGGCTATGATTGAATGCTATTTGATGCTATGTCAGCATAGCAATTAGAATAATCTTTTATCCCAGATTTAGGAAAATAGGTCCAGTGCAAATGGGGTGCTTTGCTGGTGTTGACCAATTATTACTGAAAGTGAGCTAGAATTATCAAGAGAGAGTCAGGGATCTATTCCAATCTCATATTGAAATTCAATTTCACTGGTCAATTGCAGGGTCAATACTTTCTGTTATTTTGACATATTTGTATGTTTAAGTTTTTGCTTCAGATTCCTTATTTACAAAACTCCTCATAGGTACTGGTTTCCCCAGAATAGTCCCAGTTTTTAATTTTTTTCTTTTTATTGTAATAATTAACCATGTTCACTTTCACTCTTGACAGTGCTGTGGTTGGACGGTGCATTGTGTGCTCACACTGTTTATGATAGACAGTAAGGTCAGTTCTAACGTTTTGTGTATTTGTCACCTTAAGCTGTCATCCTTCAATTCACATAGATTGTAGAGTCTACAAACAGATCTGACAGCTGCCCCCCATGCTCACAGAGATAGTCTCTCATCTCTAATTTAGCTTTTGAGATGAGACATAGACCTGAGAGGACAGGATCTGTTGCTGTCTAGTTACGAGGGCATCAGTCACACAGCGTGTGGAGGATCAGTACCAGAAATCAGTCTGTAGGAAGAGGGTTCAAACCCTGACTGTGAAGCAGGGTTGCTGGTGGAGGGGAGGAAGCTAAGATCATCATGAAGTCAACACAGGAAGAATGAGGGAGACCTTGCTAAAGTAATTTAATCCTGCCCAAAGGCATCTTCCTTTTGGGGGTTGCTTTAAATGGGTTGCTTTATGTGAAGCACATCTTAAAGGCACTTCCGGTCCCCGACAGCATGTGCATGCAGTTCGGCTATTCAGTAAAAACTGTAACCTTTTCATGGTGCTTAGATATAATTCAACTTAAAAAAACCTGAACTCTTTTGAAGTGAACATCAGAGGTAATTTTTTTTGCATGTGTATTTGGATGATATGAATATCAGAGTGATTTTCATGGGGAAGGAACAGGAATATATATGTGGGAGTAGAACAAAAAGAGCCCAAGGGAGACAGGGGGAGAAGGGAAGGATATTGCTCCTTTGAGGAGCAAACCTGATGGACCACACTTTTTACATATAAGCCTCATTTTTCCCTTTCTCTAGAACTACATTTTTCTGTCTACCCACTGCCTGTCTGAGGTCAGTCGGTCCACTTGCCTCCTACCTCACCTGTGGGCCTCAGAGAGCAACGTCTCCCTCAGCTTTTGTCCTTCAGGTCTCGCTGATTGCTGTTGCAACAGTAGACCTGGAAACTTAGCCCCATTTCCCCAGTTGCCGAATGGTCACCAGCAGGTGAGCAGATGGTTAGCAGAGGAATCCTGAGCACAGCTCAACTTATTAGACACGTGGTCTAGTCTCTTTTCACGTCACTTCTTCCTAAGGTGGTCCGCCTGCTAATAATAATCTCCTTTTAAAATGAAATGATTAGAACATGCTCTTTTGTACAGTTTTTGATCTTTTATTGAACATGCAAAGAGAGAAAGGGAGGTTATTGACTTTCCTACTATGATTGAGATAAATGAAAAAAAGGCATGAAGACAATTTCTGTGTGGAATTCTACTGCAAAAGGATCCGATCCAGATGAGGAAGGGTTGAGTATTTTAGTAGGTGCTCCAACGAACCTCCAAATTGTCTCCCTCATGGACAATATAACTACCAACTCCTGAAAAGGAAGAATGAGAAGTGGATCTCACGATTTGATCACCAAATCACCAAATAATGGATATCACTCTCCCAGCTCCTCAACACCTTTCCCACAAAAGCTCATACCCTCACATTGGAATGCTTTGGGCATTTTGACCTTGGGGGGCTTTGGCATCCTCTCCCATACCTTGGTCCAGTGGTTTGCCATTATTCAGCAGTTGCCAGTAGGTTCTGTTGTTATTGTTGGCTGTTACGCCCTGAACAGAGGTGATGTAGGGCCCCCATGAGCTCTCCACAGATGTGAAACTGTAGGAACAGTGAACAGGTTGCAGGAATTTAGAATTTTCAAAGGCAAGCAGACATGGGCATTTCTCAGATTTCAATGTACCCAAGAATCACCTGAAGCTATTATAAAAGAAGGCAGATTTCTTGGCCCTATCCTCAAATGCTTTGATTCTGTAGCTCTGGGCTGGGACCAGGAATCTGCATGTTTTATAAACACTCCAGGTGATTCTGGTGCAGGCACTCCACAATCTGAGCTCAGAGAAATGATGCCTGTGGTTTCTGCCCCGCCTACCCCCGTAGCAGACACTTTACATCATCAACTTCTAATCTACCCCAATTTAGTACCTGTTGAAGACACTAAAGCAGTAGAAGAATTAACCTCATATCCCAGAGACACCATAAATTAGAAAGAATAATTCGACGTTTCAGGCTGTGTTTATTGAGAAGCGACATGGTCAGTGTGGGTTTCACATTCCTTAGTCACACTTCTCTACCTTCCTGGGAGGCCTTTAAAGCAACCTTTATAATAATTTATATACTATATATACACATATGTATTTGTATATATGTACATATACATACATGTATTATTTATATGATTTTCTTTACAGCATTTACATCATGTTATTAGACCCAGTAAATAATTGTCCATTAGACTTAAGGATTTAAGGAGCCAAATGAACCATATTTTTCAGAGGCAAAGTCAATTTCATAATTTTAATATTTGAGTTCTCTGGCCAGGGAAACTTTATTTAGGTGTCCTTGACTCTCCTGAAAGGGGAGCATGGAGAGACTTCAGGGCATTTGTGAAACTTCTGGTTTAAAGGACAATTTTTGAGTAGGTTCACTTTTCTGGGATTAGCATCTACTGTACTCATCTGATTGTCAATAGAACCAGTGATTCAAAAATATTTAAGAACCACTGTTCAAGACACAAAATGCCTGACTTGAGAGGCTCTGTGTATTGAAGGAGTTTTACTGACACAAGCAGAGCCCTGGAACTTACTTATTAAGGGAACATTAATATAATACCTACTATGTGCTAGAAGAGGAAAAAACCCACCTCCTTTTTTTTTAACCCCTGCCATGAAATATAACAAACGTGATGATTAAAAAGTGTTTTAAATGTACCCGGTGCTTATATACTCTTGCTGAGTCTTTCAAAATCACACTAACTACTGTAACATTAGGTTATGTGCAGACATACCCAAATTCAGCTTTATTTATTTTCTGAGCTTCCTCCATCACATCTAGGAAGACAGAACCCTTTCTCACAGTGACTTCGGTAGAATATGTTTCCCTGATTTTCACAGAGTAATGTACTTTGATATATGAGGGTGAAACGGTAGGCGTCGCAGTTACAGGGGAGATGTTGAAGTAACCTGTCAGAGGCAGAAAAGCAGGAAAGAACTATTATTCAGAATAATAAAAATGATGTAAGAGTTTGCACACCTATCCAACCCCTGTCCAATGATTCCTTTATGCACAGGAGGATTTTCTCCGTGGACCAAGTATCATCAGTCAAGGGGCAGATCACTCATATGACGATAGCAGAAATGAATACCAGATACTCACCGGCTTGTAAATGCTTTTTCTGGCTCAGTTCCCAGCTGTTTAAGCAATTCAGTTGTCCCATTTCCCATTTCTCACAGAAGCTCCTTATTTTCTTTTGCTTTGGTATAACATACAAAAAGGCTTCCTTTTTTTTTTTTTTGGCTCTTGTTTCTTGACATTTATCAAAAACATATTAAGTGCCAAGCACTGTGGCAATCATTTTGCATGGATTATCTCACTCAGTCCTTAAAAAAAACTGGTGTTGAATACTATTATTGTTTGTATTTTTTACATTAGAAAACTGAGGCTTAGAGGTTAAAAATTTTGTCCAAGGTCTCTAAACCTATGTGGCTAAACCAGGAATGAACAGAGATAGAAAAGTCTCCTTTATACTTTGTTGAAAATCAGTTGTTTAAATAAATGATTCATGCTGTGGTTTTCTTATAATACTGACATGTTCATTCCACACATTTATTTCCCTTTGGGATCACTTATTGTGCATAGTGGGAAATCAGAGACACCATACTTAATTGAAGATGGAATGTTTCTCTGAACATCTCTCTGTATCCAGCAATCAGAAAACTTCCCTTTGGAAATAGACATCATTTAATCAAGTCTACCTCATTTATCAGTATTTGAACTAAGAGCTGTCATCCTTCAATTCACATAGATTGAAGTCTACTGAGAACATATCCTCAAGTGGTTGTTATTACTGATGGCATATGGAAGACTCACTTCTGTCTGGGAATGGTTGTGCTTTAGAGGTTTATCTGGTCACTTTGAGTACCCAAGAACACCTAAATCTCACATGCGTTGGGTATTACATTGAAAGGCAAAACAGTTTGCTGTTTAGTGTTATACCTGTATTATTGATACAGCAAGAGTATTTGTTAATGTCCAATAAAGTTTTTCCCATCAGGGCAGGTAAGACCTGGGCTGCAGCAATTGGCATACGGAATGCTCCATGAGAAATTTCCTCCAGCACTTTATCCAGAGTTCTTTGGCACTCCCATTCCCGTTCCTTGTAATGTCTTGATGAGACAAAGAGAGCCTAATGTGAGGGAATAAGAGAGAGAGACAATGAATGAAAGAAACTTCCAATAAGGAGAAAGCATACATCTAACTAATTCAGCGAATATTTATTGGACACTGACTACTTGGAGGCACCTTAGACAACTAAGATAACTTTCCTGCCATCAAGAAGCTTGTAAACTAATTTGGGTGGGGAGATGGAGAACTGCAAATGATAATAATGGCAATGAAAACAGACTTTCTTTACTGTGTTCAGTCTTGTATCCCCACCACTGGCACAATACCTGTTGTAGAGGAGGTGTTGTTAATATTGTTAACAGACAGATTATTGTAAGGGAGCCCCTAAGATGCATTCCCCAAGAGAAGCATCTAGTGGCATGGCCCCTCAAAAGAGGAAGAGCTCATCAACATTTAGTGAGGCCGAGGAAAGGCTTGGTGGAGAGGCAGTACTTAAGGTAGGCCTTGATGGTGTGATGGCATTTCGGTAGGTGACGTGAGGAGGGGAGCCCTAGATCCAGAGGGAACAACATGACCAAAGGTGTTACAGTAGGAATGGCCAGGGCCGTTCCTGTATTTTAGCAAAATCCCTGGAGGACTGCTCTTGGCCTGGGAAGCCTGGTCTACAGGGAAGACTCAGAGCAGCTGTGGATAAGCAGGCTGGAAAGGGGGTTGGGGCCAGCTGGGTGGACCCTTGAACCTCAGGGTGAGGTCTCTGGCATCGTTTGCTTGACAGTGGGGAGTCTAATAGGTTCTTGAACAGAAACTACTGAGGCAGCAGATATAAACTGGATTGAAGGAGCAGAATTAAGGGGTAGGAAAAGTGAGAAGAGTATTAAAGTAAGATAAGGACTGAAATGGGTTGGATGTGCAGACATTGCTCAGTCATTTCTCAGGGAAGGACAGTCCCCCTGTTCATCTTTTCTTTTTTCTTTCTTTTTTAATTTTTTCATCTTTTCTTGAAGACCCTTAAAGTTAACCAAGGAGTCAACAAGCATTTGTGGGATAATAAAACAAAATACAATTGATCATATTACATCTCTTAAAAAGTGTATTGTCGGCAAGTAGCTCTAGGCCCTGCTGTGAATTAATATCACCAAGACTAAGGCTCATGATCCACCCCTATATTTCTGATATGGGGTCTAAACATTCGTGTGTTTTAAAATCTCCTCCAGGCGATTCAAATGTGTAACTAGAAACCACTGTTTTATATTAAGTTTAAACTTAGGAAGACAGAAAACAGCATAAGTGGTAACAACAATACAAACCACCTTTATGACCAGACCCCAACTTACATCCCCTGCCTCATCTTGTAATTTTTCCTGAGGATCCTGTGCTGGCCAGGCCATACACCTTGGTCTTCCTAAAATATGGAATTTTTTGTGTGTCTCCCATCTTTTTCCTTGCTATGCTCTCTCCGTCTGAAAGTCCTCTTGCCCTGAGTCAGCCTGGCAAGATACTAGAGACTCAGTGAGGCTTTTTTTTTTTCTTTTCTGTAAACCTTCCTTGGTCTCTTCTTGTATCTGCCGTTAGAGTTGAAAAGATCAGTGACTGAATACAGAATAAAGTCCCAGACTTCAAGGAACACACACAGGACAGGGTTTAGGTGCTGAGTGTGATTTTGAAACCAGCTGTTTAGGTCCCATCCCTGTCTGCATTTCTCTCTGGCTTTGTGACGTTAGGCACGTTCCTGGTACTCTGTGACTCACACTCTTATTCCAGGAAACAGAGGTGATGACTCTTTCCTCATTATTGTTGAGTGCATGGATGAGTTAGTCTCAATCAGTACTAGAGGCTCTTAACTGCCACTACCACTTATTGCTTATTACAACCATAACCTAACAGGGGAGGCAAAATGAAAACATAAAACAATGGTATATGGTAAAGTGTAAAATTGCTGTAGTAGAGCAAGATAGGTTGTAGTAGATCCCAGAATTCCTTAAAGAAGTTGTGGCCAAGAAAAGCTTCACAGAAGCATTGATAATGGAAAGGTAAAGATTGAAGTTGTGGAGAACACATTTCAGGCAGGTGAGGGAAATCACGTGAGTAAAATCAAAGTTAGTATAGGAAACAGCATGGATAAGGATAAAGATACTGTTTTCTTCCACAATTCCCTTCTCACGTTCCTGTTCGATCCTCTGACTTACCTGCATAGCCTCTCCTGTACTATATATGTTTCCAATGAGACCATTTGCTTTTTTCTCACGCAGAATCTTTTTTACCAGTGATGCTATATTATATTTGATACGCTTTAAATCCTTTTTATGGCATTTGATGTTTTCCCTATATGTACTCCTCTTCACACATGTCAGAGCCAGAACAGCCATTGCACCAGTATCTGTCAGGAAACAACATTGGTCAAAGGGTGACCAGTCATCCCAGTTTGCCCTGGACTGAGGGCTTTTGTGGTATATGGGACTTAAGGTGCTAAAAAGACAACCCAGGCATATGAGTTGATGATGGGAAAAAAGGAATTAAAGACACAGCAATCATCTCTCCAGCTCTAACCACTCAAATATTTTAAGATTCTTTCCTTATTTGAGTAATAATTCTTGGTCATAGAAACACATGTGGATTTATAGGTGCATATACATGGACAGTCTTCTACTTATACTTATACTCCTTGGTTATTCTCTGTTTTTTCATCTTTCAGCCATATTAGCAAAGAGTTTGATAGTACATCAATCAAAATATGCCTTTGTAATTCCAAGGATTCCACTAGACTGATGAGAACATAGCACTTAAGAGAATTCTTTTCCAAGAAACCTCCTTAAGGCGAACGATGATGCAAGAGATGAGAAGAAGGGACGTTAGGGTCTTTTTTTCTGGCTCATTATTTTGTTCTTGATGCATTTTTTTTTAATGTGTGGTGCCTGCCCTCTCTCATTAGGAAAAGGAATATGAGAAATTGCACATTCTCCTTACTAACCAGAGATACTGAGTGGTGATTTTCTTTGAGCTTCTTGGGGAAAGAAGAACATGTGTATCTGGATCCATAGTGACTGAGCACCAACACTAGCTGTCTGGAGGCAATTTCTTCTTGGATGTGTTAGGTGAAATGTGTGATGTGTGAGCAGGAACATGTGTGATGTGTGAGCAAGAAAGTTTCTGGTCCTTCTCCCCTGTGAGTACACACTGAATTGATCACAGTATTGGGCCTTGTCCCTGGAGAGGTCATGTTGTTCAAGTAAACCCACACATCCAAATGGTCCCAATAACTTAGGGAAAGTGGCAGTTTAAGATATATGAATTCCACTGCATTCTCTTTCTTTAACACTTATACTTCCTAAGTTGTCTTATATGAAGATTCTTATGCTTTAGCTCCATTTTGCAGGTGGGAAAATTAAAGTCAAGAGTTAACACCATTGGTTACATAACAAAGAAGTGGGCTAAGAACCAGGTTATTCTGCACATCTACAAAGAGGCTTAAATGCCACCCAATATCCATTCTGCTCAAAAAAAATTTTCTTCTGAGGACACTAGGGTAAAAAGAGTAGAAAAAAACCCCAAAGTACTTACTGGAAGAAAACTCGAAGGATAAGACCTACTGGTGACTGTGTTCTCTATAACAAGATAACTGAGTTTAATGACTCACCTACGGAGAACTTGTGACCAAGACGAAAGTTTTTATTTCCAGGAGTGAAGAGTTCAGCAACTTTGGTGGTTGAGTAGTTCCCTTTGAACAGACACAAGGCCAAAACGTCCAAACCAAGCTGGTAATAGTTAGTCAGGGGATTGCCATTGTTTTTTTCTGGCAGAAAGAAAAGAAATACCTTTACTCATGGAAGTAGTATTGGAGTAAAACTTTTTCATCTATTCCTACTTACTTTATTCCCATTTCTTTACATTAAGGAGAGTTGAGTAATAAGGGGAAGGGAGCACTCATGGAGTCAGCAAGCCTGAGACGTTGAAAGGCTCTTAAGGACCACCAAAGTCAGCTCCTTTCATTCTACAACTTAGGAGACCTGGCACAAAGGACATTAAAATACTGTCCTGATATTCAGATGATTACAAAGCTGGACTAGGACACAGATTTCCCTCCTCCAAGCCTCCTGCATTTTCAATATTAACATATTGTAAGTAAAAGTAGAAGTAGAGGCCTCCTCCAAGGAAGATGAGATTGGAGAGACTTAGTGAATATTTGGGTGGGAGTGGAAATCAAAACAGTGCACCTCACTAGCAGCCATCATGGACAACCTGTTTTTCCTAGTGATAAAAGTACATCTGGCGATTGTTAGCTGTTATACTTGGTACTTATGACACAGTATCTTGTATTTTTCAGATATTTCTGGCATAATTCATTATCTAAAAGCCAAGCTTCTGGAGGACAAGAGACTGTGTGCTGTATGTTTGCATATGTGTGTATTTATCGTCATATGCAAAGTAGTCTTGATGTAGACTCAATGCTCTGTTGGATATATATGAAAAGAAAATTCAAGATGCATGTTGAAAGAGGAAAGAAGGGACGTGGTCTGCAAAGATACAGGCTGAAGGGGAGAAGAAAGGAGCGAAGTTCCAAACTGTTTTGAATCAGTGGAGAAGAAGACAAGGTTGTCCAGGGTCTCTGGACATTTGATTCTCACCCATATTTTCAATTTCAGCTTCGAATTTCGTTTCTAGTTGTCTGATCAGATAACGATCCTGTTTAAAGTACGTGTTGGGGTTTTGACAAGCTCCCAAAGCCATTATAGACAAGGCAAGCTGTCCCGAGGTTAAATTTGACTCTGCAAAGAAAAGCAATTCAAGTTTAACAAAGTAAATGCTTGTGATTTTCTTTTTTTGGCCTCCTGCCTTCCTTGTGACTGTGTTGTCTGTCATTTCTTTCTTCTGTTCTGTTCTTTCCTGATATTTTGTTCTCTTCTTTATCCCTCAAACCAGAGCCCCTTCTAGCAGTACAGTAAATGCAAACTGGATTTTAGTTTTACCCATGAAATCACAGATCTTTCTAGAATCATGCAATTCTTACAAAAATGAGAAAAGAATAAAAATAGATAAATAATGAAACTTTGGGATTTTCTTTCTTTGTGGGTGCCATCTTGCCAGGGTAGTGGTAATTGACTTGTGGCTTCTGCCTTATAGAGTACCAGAACTGTCAGGCTTCTCACTATTCTTATGATAATATTGTGAGGTATGTAGGGGTAGCTCCATTTTCCCCTTATATTCCTTAGAAAGCAGAGGCTCAGTATGGACAGGGAAGGCTCAGGGTGAAGCCTGGACTTGCCTCTGTTGTTCTGTGGTTGCCTCTCTATTGCCAGCGTGCAAAGATGTGGTCCGCATCCCTATCTGGTTGTGAACTCAGCCATCTTCTCTAACAGTAATAACGGGTAAGAGTACATTCTTTAATATAAGAATATAATATATTTTCAATATAGGAAAGTACAGTTTGCTTTTCCTCTGGACCACTTGAAGGAAAAATGGCTTTGAGGCCCCAGAAAAGTAGGCCCAGCTCCAGAGTAGGTGGCAGGGGATGGGTGTGTTGGAGCATTCTCCTGTTACTTCAGTGTCTGCTAGGAAAGATGTAGCTGAGATACTTTGAACACAGTTTTTAGGACTCCCTGGAGATAATTGTTACAGATAGGTAAGTCTTCTCCTAAATATTCCAGAGTTTAGGCACTCACTGTTGTTTGTCACATCGTCTTCGACTTGTCGGGTCATCCGTCCTTCTGAGCTTAGGTCAGATATCCCAGCAAGTTTGAGGGACAGCAAAACATTGGCAGCTTGGATTCCTCTGGTATATTTTGATTCGACCATTGTGCTTATCAGAGGGTCTAGTTGGGAGTAATCTTCTTCCTGTACCTCTGTGGCAGGGGAGGGAGGGAGCAAGAAGCACACACTCAGAAAATATGAAGGGTAGAATAGGGTTGGGTTTAGTAACAGATATGGCCCAGACACAGACCCACCAGGGTCACTGGCTATATTGCTGGAGCAATACAAGGGGGGCCTGGAGCCCCTGCGGTGCCGAATATTACTCCTTTACCAGCTAACACAGAAGTCTTTCAATATTTTAAAAACTGGTCCAGCCTTAACATTGCTTACTAGCAGAATATCTGTCCTGCCTGGGAGATGTAGTATCATACCCTCATTTTGAATGTGAGGCTTAGACAGGATGTCTTTAAGGAAATCTCTATAATTGGAGGCTTAACTAAGGCTAGAATATGCATCTTCTGACTCCTAGTCTGTAGCACTTTCTACTTCCTGGATTCAGTTTTTTCCTTCTCCATCTTCTTCTAATTCAATTGGGTTAATACTAAGGGAGAGAACCAAAAATTCTAAATTACATTGGTCGTTGATGCCAAAGCTTAATTGTCTGATTGCCCAACTGGCCAGGCATTAGATCGTTTATTCAGCAGTACATCCCTTTTGGGAAAATCTCTAGTTACATGTCCAGATCCCAGGGGAGAGGATGGAGGGAGTCACATGATACTCTGGAAGAAAAATAGAATCCAGAGACCCCAAGAGCTGGAAGAGAATAAGCAGAGTTAGTTACCACTTAAAACGTTTCTAAATATATAAGAAAATCCCAACCATCTCCAGATTATCTCGTGGGTTAGTAGATAGTGAGAAGAACAAGAGCTGTGGGTCAGCTTGACCTTGGCCGGACCTTGGCTGGATTCTGAGCTTCTTAATTTATGACCACATGTACGTTATGTAAGTTTCCTGATCGTCAGTTTCCTCATTTTAAAATTGTGGATATAAACTCCTACTTCATAGATATTGGATAAGAAATTACTTAATAAACTGTAAAATACTACACATACTATTACTTCTACCTTGCCTGGAGTTGCTGTAACTACACTTTCCAGGAAATGTGATTTCCCTTGCCCACCTTACTTCCCTGTAAGAGAGAGTCAGGAAGATGTGTGAGTGCTGTAGAAAGGTCCTGGTTGTAACAGAAACAACTGGACAATTGTGATTCATCTCAGATTTTCTGGCACTGAAACAGACTTCTTAGTTCCTGGTTAATTACTCAATTCAGCTTCCTCCACCCCTAACAAGAAAGTTAATTATTTTGCACAATGAATTCAACTTCAAAGCCTCCATAGAGAGCCCACATTCTTAGGATACAATAGAGCAAATGATATGCCAGAAGGAAAAAGTAAAATTGGTAGATTCTGTGCTTTAGCCTGTGCGAATAGGAGTCGTTCTGCTGTGGTATCTATCACATCTTGTAGACTACACAGTACCAGAAAGATGTCATAGATTGTGACATCTACATAGTCATCTTTGGACTGGTTTGAAGCTCAGTTCCAGGGTAAAGATTTACAAAAGAGAAATCATGCACCTGATAACTAGACAAGACTTACAGAAATCACCTGCTTTAACACCCTTTCCCAATTATCCTTCTCTGGTGGATAAAACTAAAGCAAATGCAGAAATATTAGATCATTCAGCTACCCAGGGGTTGGACTAGACCTGAATCTGGTTTTTCTTGCTCCTACTTAGTATTTTTTAATAGAATCACACAATTTCTGGAGACTACACCCAGAGTGGAGATGATGGGGCTTGTACCATGTTCTTTGGGGAATGATTGAAGGGAAGGAGATGTGTAGCTTGGAACATCTAATCAATAATGACAAGAGAACAGTCTTCATTATTTGAAAGGGATTACTAATATTTTTTTTCTGTGCAGTTACAAGGTGTAAATCCAAAACCCATCAGTTATACTTCAGAAAAATAGATTGTATCTCAAAATCAAAAGATAACTTCCCAGGACCTTGCAAAATTTCTGAGATCATGAATTTTTCTATTATTGAAAATGAACAAGAATAGACAGTTACTTGGTAGGGTTGCTATGGTAGAGAAGATCTGAGTGGAGGAAGAATATTTAGGCAAGTTAAGAATGAGTCTGTGATCCCTCTTAAAGCAATATACATTGTGGAAATTTCCTCACCATCTCCGGCCACCCTCTAGGTTACTCATGGAATCCAACCACATAACAGAACTGGAATAGGATCTTTTACCTCAGGTAACTCTACACACAGTCCTTGTCAGAATCCTTCAGGAGATTATCATACGAAAGTAATTTTTGCTCAAAGTGTACTCACCACAGATATTGCATAGTTGGCTTGGGAGAAGAACGAACAACAGGAGCCCCACTAGGGGCAGCTGGCGTAATTGTCTCATCTCTCCAGCAGTGTACTGGAATGGCGAGGGCTCCGCTGGCTGTTTATCGGGTGATGGACAGAGCGCAGTGAATACTCCTCCTTCAGCTTGCCTCAGCTCCTTTTACTCAAGCAAATATATTAAGTAATGTCAAGAGGTGTGGTCAAGTGTATTTGTCCAAGTAGTGTGATAAACCAGGAAGAAGACTTGAAAAGTATAGTCAGGGAGAACAAGGATATAATTTTTCTTTGTTTCCTGTCCCAAACCTTCAGGGTTCATATTCTTTGCCTCCAGCCCAATGAAAATAAATTAAGTGAATGTCTGTTTTCAGTAATGTTTCCTTCCTTTCCATTCTACTTTGGTTATGTTTTATTTATGTCTCCTGAGAGATTAGATGTGGTAGGGCAAGGTCTTATATTGAAACGGAAGTAGAAGTTTTAAGTCTGAAATTGGAGCATGAGGGATGGGGGAGACTGGCACACGGGAGGATCTGGCTTAGTGGTTTTGACCTGTGCTTCTCTCCTAAGACAGATGTCCTGAGAATTTCCTAGCCTGGGAGGAAAACCACATAAATACCTATCAAATGTGGATTTTTGCTGGGAAAGATGCTGCATGCTACCTGTGAGGAGTGTTATCTATCATAGTTCTTTCAAGAACTATTAGAGAATTTCATCAGTTTGGCCTTAAAATGTTTGCTCTGGGTCAGTAAGATGGCAGAATAGGTCCCCCACACATATCCTCCCACAGACACAGCAATTTTAGCGGCCATGCATGGACAAAAGTTTCTCTATGGGAGGTTTGGGTTCCAGGTAGGAGGCTGCAAAAACCTAGTGCAGCTGCTGAGAATGGTTGTGCTAAGGCACACCAAAGAAGACACACTTGTGTTCATGTATGTCAAAGCACAGAAACTGCCAACTCTTATTTTCTTCTTGGACTGTCATTTTTCTTGTCATATCCTGAGAAGGCAGACTCCCTGACCATGGTCCTGGCTACAGACCCAGAAACAGCCACGTCCCGTTGTGGTTATGGCTTCGGCCCTGTTTGGCCTGGGAGGAGTCATGCCTACTGGAGCCTGGGGCAATAGTCCTGCTGATCTTGGTCCCACTATGGACCCTGAAGCAACCCTGTAACCTGGCTTCAGCCCCCTTTAGCTGTGGTTCAGGGCCAGTCCTGCCTATGCAGGGACCTGTCCAGAAGACCCAGCAGGAGCCACAACCATCCATGCACCAATATCAGGGCTGCTGTCTGAAGACCCAGCTGAGGACCCAGCAGCAGCCAGGTGACCCATTTTCAACCCTGTTTGACTGTGAACCCAGAGGCAATCCAATCAGCCCAGGGGCCTGACAGGAGGTCTTCACCTGTTAAACGTCAAATAGGCTGTAAATATGGAGAAGTATCTGCTCCTTCAAATGCACAGATACCAATGTAAGGCCACACAGCTCACAGAGAAGCAGCAAATATGACACCATCAAAGGAAATTAATAAATAAACCTAAAAGACATATAGAAGCAAACATAGGCAATAAGCTCTTTGACATTGGGCTTAGCAATGATTTTTGGGTATAACAACAAAAACACAAACAATAAAAGCAAAAATAAACAAATGGGACTGTATCAAACTGAAAAGCTCCTGCTTAGCAAAGGAAACAATCAGCAGAATGAAGAGGTAACCTATGGAATGGGAGAAAAAAATATTTATTAGATACCATATATCTGATAAAGGATTAATATCTAAAATACATAAGGAACTTCTACAACCCAAAGCAAAAATACCCAAATAATCCCACTGGAAGAATAGGATTTGAATAGAAATTTATCCAAGGAAGACACGTAAATAGCCAACAGGTACATGAGAAGGTGCTCAAAAATGAATAAAAAGAACTTTGGTATAATGGTGGAAATTGTCATTATGGAAAATGGTATGGAGGTCCCTAAAGAAATTAAAAACAGAACTACCATTTGATTCAGCAATTCCACTCCTGGGTATATATCCAAATGCCATGAAATCTGTATCTCAAAGAGGTATCTGCACCCCATGTTCTTTGCAGCATTATTCACAATAGCCAAGATATGGAATCAACTCAAGTGTCTGTCAACTGATAAATGGATAGGAAATGTATATACAATGCAATATTAGTCAGCCATGAGAAAGAAGGAAATCTTGCCATTTGTGACAGTATAGATGGACCTTGAGGGCATTATGCTAAGTGAAATAAATTAGAGAAATACTATAGCATATCACTTATATATGGCATCTAAAAAAGTCAAACTCATAGAAGCAAATAACAGAATAGTGATTGCCAAGGGCTGGGGGCTGGTAAAAAGGGGGAATATTGGTCAAAATGTACAAACTTTCAGCTGTAAGATGAGTAAATTCTGGGGGTCTAATGTACAGTATAGTGCCTATAGTTGTTAATACTGTATTGTATACTTGAAATTTGCTAAGAGTAGATCTTATGTGTTCTTACGAACATACAAAATGGTAATAATGGATATGTTAATTAGTTTGATTGTGGTAATTTCATGATATATATGCATATCAAATCATCGTGTTGTTCAATTTAAAAATATACAATTTTTATTTGTCAATTGTATGAATAAAATTGGGAAAAAAGAGAATGTGTTATCCTTGTTAAGGACTTAATGACTCACTATTTGCACTGTATCTTCCTGCATAGCACATTGTCTAGTTCACAATAGACATTCAGGAAATAAAGTTTCAACAAGTATTTACAGACTCTTCTCTGTGTAAGGTATCACAATAGAAGAGAACACCAAGATAAATAAAACAAGGACTCTGAGCCCAAATTTCTTAAAAGTGACACTATTCTATTCACATATACATTAACATTCATATTAACACCAGATAATTCTTTGTTGTGGAGTCTATCCTGTGCACTGTAGGTTGTAAACATGTAGCACTGGTGTTCAGTACCACCCCTCACCCCAGTCATGACAGTAAAAATTATGTCCAGGTACTGCTGCGTGCTCCCTGGGGGCAAAATTGCCATCCCCTAGTTAAGGACTATTCTTCTAGTCTTTACATAGTTTTAAGTTTTGTGTTGGGATAATGTCATACACATCTTAGTTTTTCAATAGACTCTGGCTTCCAGGAGGTGTATGAAGCATGGTAGTATCCTCTTTCCACTGACCCTTACCCCACCCAGGACCTCACTTAGGTCCATATTCAGCTGACTTTGCAGGATTCATCTTTATAGTCACTTCCTTACATATACCCTCAGTTCCTTGGTTTCTCTCTTGAGTTATCATACTTTCTTGGCACAAACCTGGTTGAATTCAGCTCTGTCTATTCTGATAAGATACTGCCTATCCAGATAGCTCAATAGGCTACAGAAACACAATGCATTGTGCTGATTTGACTTATCTGTAATTCATGCTCACTAACCTCAGTTGTACCCGTACCAGTGTCAGGCAATTACTGATTCAAAATCTCAGGACTTCTCCGGGTGAAAATTGAAATTAGGCCCTATATATGGAGGGCAAGGGGAGACCAAAGAAAGAGAGACCATTCCAGATTGGCAGGTGGCATTTTAAGAAGGAAGGGAATTTACAGACAAAGGCTTACCTTGGGTGACTGCAGGACAAGTAGATCTCTACACCCTCCCACCAGAATCTTAGAAGTTTTATATAGAGGTCTTAATGGAATTCAGTCGTGTGTACAGTCCAGATGGTCTCAATAACACATTACTCTTTCAAGGCTGTGTCCTTGAAACAGCTGCTCGTATTTGAATAGTAGGCAGAACAGATGTTTCAAGGGCAGGGGAAAGGGTGAGGAGCCTCCAGTTGCCTGGATCCAGCTTTTGGGTCAACTGGTGGTCATGTCCCCTTGATGACCTCCCCCACAGTAGTCTAACTGTAACTCTCTACATAATTCATTCTACTGTTTTCCTTTATATCACATCTTATCCTCTCTCCTCAGACTTTTGATACCTACTTTAATACCTTTTAATACTATGATCATACAGTAATGATCTTGCTTCCTCTCTTTCTGAGAAAACTGGAAAAAGAGGAGATGATTCTACAAGATCTCACTACAACCATGTGAAAATCTATGTCCAGATATTCTGTCTTCCTATTGATACAAAGGAATTGTCCTTGCTTTTAGCTAAGAAGAACCTGCCTACCTCTGTTCTTGGATTACAGTGCTTTCTCAGACATACTAGTCTTTTCTCTTTGGCATTGTGGATTATTTCCTTTCCCCATCAGCATAAAAACATGATATTATTATTTCTTGAAAAAACTGTTTAATTCTCTCTTGATCTCCATTTAATTTTCATTGTATATTAGTTTGCTAGGGCTGCCATAACAAACTGGGTGACTTAAATGACAGAAATTTGTTTTCTGACATCCAAAGCCTAGAAGTCTGATATCTAATGACCTCATTTTAACCTAATTATCTCTTTGAAGATCCTCTTTCCAAATACAGTCACATTCTAAGGTACTGGATATTAAGACTTCAACATACAAATTTTGGAGAGACACAGTTTAGCCCACCACATTTGTCCCCAGGATATTTTCCCCCTTTCTTTTGACATTCATTGAGCTTCCTGAATCTGTGAGTTGATCTACCAGTTTGGGGATGTTCTCAACCATTATCTTTTCAGTTATTTGTTTTGCTCTATTCTCGATCTCTCTTTTTCTGGGTCTCAAATTGTATGCATCTTAGGCCATCTCTGGCTCATCTTCCTATTATGCTGTTCTGTTCTTTTCATTATTTTTCACTCTCTGTGCTTCAGAATTCCAAGTTCTTACTATCAAACTTCATATTTTTTCCATTTTGGAATGGTCACTTAATTCTATTTTATACCTTCCAACTCCGTGTTGAAATTCTCCAACTTTTAAACATTTTTTACATCTTTTCCTCCATTTTCTTCTGCTTACTCTGAAGTGTTGATCCCTATGGGTTTGCCCCTGTTGCCCATTACAAGGGGCAGATCCATTTTTTGGTCACATTTTACTCCAATTCATTTAGTCTTCATTACTCCCACAGTTCTCCAATCTCTTCAAAATATGTTTATTTTTATTTGCCATTTTTCCCCTAGTTATGGCATCGGACGCAATAGCCTGCAGTTACCAGCTA